CAACAACAAACAACTTGAACTAAAAATTTCTTCTAATATCAATAGGTTGATTGTTTCGCTCTTGTATATTCCAAGAGGAAAAAAAGATCTTTGAGACCTGTTTCTAGGATCCGGAAGAGAGTACTTGGGTTACATTGGGACAATCCTCTTGATTTATGGGGCCCCAAAGATTGAAAGTATAAACCTTACGTTGAAAAGTTTGGCTCAATTCACTATCATCATTTATACTTCAATTGTTTTGAATGCTACTATATATTTGTAAATTGCATTGCTTGAGGTCAAGTCTGCAGGCTAAATATTCCGTATCAAAAGTCTACGATGGAATGAGTAATCCTGAAGAAAATTAACATCTTCTAAAAAAGCTATACGACATGAAAAACTCATAATCGATGCAAGTTGCAGGATATTATGATTCCAACCATAGTTGTTTTAATACCGAGAGAAGTTAGTATATGCTGAAATTTATCCTTTATGTAGTTCCTCATTGATTGTTTTTAGGGTTAGTGGGCTAGCGCTAATAGAAGATATTCAGTACGATTGTTTGAGTAGATAAACTTTTATACTGATTATGATCGCGTGGGATGATCAGATGAGATCAAAATATAGAGATTTCATGTTAGTGAGAAGTGTCATACAAATGACACAATTGGAGAAATATCCGTACACAAGTGACATAATCTGAGCAATATGTACACAAGTTTTTCTTGTGAGGTAGATTACTAGATGTGAAACCCTAAGTAGGGACCAGAGCAATGTTGTGGCAATTTTGAAGTACTTTAAACATGGTTGTATTGAAGCTAGTTGTGAAGCATACACAATAGTGCACATGCATGATTGTATAAAGGCAAACACAGGACTTAAAAGTATTGTATATTGGAAATCTGTTCGTCCTTTTTCATGTTCAGATTGAACCTCTTACCTCTATACAAAGGCATGAAATGAAAGCTAAAGCTAATAAGCTACCATACGATATGGAAAGGATGAAACACTTTTTTTGTTCTTTAATTTCTACCTTATAATCTTTACTATCAAATCAGCACAGAGATTGGCAGATATTATATGCTCCCTTGAATTTATATTTACTGTTAGCTCCCGACAAGGAGATCATTTCAAATGTATGGCGCCCTACAAAGCTCATATATCATCTCTGTGTACATTTGGATTTAGGAAGTCTTGTAATTCATACAGTTCACATCTCATGTGTAACCCAGTTGACAACTTGACACGGATACTTGCATATATCAAATCAAATCTGCTCTTTTGGACAGTACTGCACTTGTTCATATATGTTAATAAAGGTCGGCACAACTTTCTCTAGCTAGCCATTAAGCTTATTTAATCAAAATTGGTTTGTCGTCGGAACATCCGTACATGGACAAGTATATATATTGAAATATTTATAATCGAATAATAGATTATTCACAAGAAATGTTTATGAGTATCGAGAAAACAGTTTATATTGATGTATCATTTTATGTGTTTTAATAAGGATTGGACAATAGTGATTATAGAATGTCTCACTTCTAGAGTATATTAATAAAAAGAAATTTATGTGTTATAATTTGAGCGTAAAAGTGACATCGCGTAACAGTGTACTAAGTACAGTACACCGAAAAATTATTTGATTATTAATTACCACGGATGAAATTTAACATGCATGCCCTTTTTTGTCTGTACAAGAAAAGGTTTGGATAACCTATCACAAAACAACAGGCATGCATGCATCTGTTCAACTCTCTCAAGATATATTTAAATTAAACTACCAGAATTCCATCTGGTTTCATTAGCTTCCAACTATTTCTATATTAATCAGTACTATATATATATATATATATATATGTATGTATGTATGTATCATAGTACAGTGCATAATTAGAGAACCTAACATGGGGCAACTAACATATGTTACCAATTGAATTCCAAAACCCTCCACTTCATTTGTAAAATCTTATTAACTTAATGGAATCAGTGCAAGACCCACGCATAAATGATACATGATTGATTCATGTTTAAGGTCATTTTCCAACGCAAGCCATGTATATATCGTTGCATTTGGAGGTCACTCATGAGTTCATGACCTGTGGTTGAACTGTACTCGTACAAGAAAAAGGCTGCTTAATTATCTTGTACTTTTCTCTCCAATTAGATGGAACCAACCAAGGCATAACAATGTGTGTCATCGAGAACCCTATTTCCATGGTCCCGGCCTTAATTACTTTCGGGGAAGCTAATTAGCATGCTTGATTTGTCACATTTAGAGGCGTGCATTATTTAACTATGCCATCACTTGATTGGATCATGGTGACTAGGTACTTATACGATACTTAATAAACTTTAATAATCACTTGGTTTAATTAGGGTTTAAAATAAATTATACTCAGATGATCAAGTTTAAGTGGAGTGTCTCTCTAGACTGGCCAGGGATTGATCGAGAGAGAGAGAGAGAGAGAGAGAGATTTGTAAGGTGAAGTGGACGTCTAAATCAAGTTTCATGCCACTAATGAAGCTAAAGTTGGGGTCCAATCTGGAGATTAATATATTGCTAAAGGCAAAGCTGCGGGAGTGAGTTTGATTTTCTTTGCTATATGCCTCACCAACTACTCTTTTGGTTAATGTTCTCTTATTGTCAAAAAGCTCTAAAGAAGAATGAACTTTTTCAAGTGCAGAAGTTTTTCAAATTATCTATGATTATAAATGCTTGCTTGCACACCCTATCTTAGCTCCTTTCTTTACTCCTCAAATCATCAAATATTTCATGCCAAAAACAAACAAACAATATAAAGGAAAACCCTAAAAGCATCTAATCCTCCATCTCTACTCTAGTACTTCATGTATAACTTATAATTTCTCTTGTTTCCTTGTAGAAGTCTAACTCTAGCTAGTTCCCACCCTAGCTAATATGAAATGAACACTACATGACTCATTTTTAAAAATGAGTCATTCTTCATTCATGTAAATCACAGTTTAATGATATATTTAAATATATTTAAACATAACTCGATAAAAATATTAAAAAAAAAAATTGCACCCATACCAAATTGTAATTAACAGAAATGTAGGAATGCCATATTTCCTTTCAAATTTAATTAAGATGTCGGCAAGCTGACTTCTTGGGTGCCCATAGTTCATATTATTGGGTGCAAAAAGCACCGACGTTGTGTTAGTTCAAGACTTGAATTAACACCACGAAAGGGTACCATTTTTGGTAGTGCCACCTACCTTTTGACCGAGCAACTTAAGATTTGTGGGAAGAAACCCTAGAAAAAACCAATGATGCGTATATATAAGATGCTTGCTTGGCATGCATTATCTTGTTTTCGTGCTAACACGTAAGCTTTAGTTTGTTTTACCCACAAGAAACTCTCCCAACTTGCTCAGCTTGTAATTAAATTTAAATCGAACCACTTCTCTCTATAACTCTATTTTTATTTTTTTATGTTTCTTAATACAACAGCAACACTGATCACTCTATCTGTGCTGCTTTTTTCTGGTTGGATATCAGCAACCAATTAATTAACCTCCATTAGACCTTAGCTGCTAGCTTGATTAATAAACTAATCGCTTAATAATTACAGGGAACACTGAAAGATTGTAGTGTTTAACTTAAACCCTAGTGTTATTTCAGCTTATCCAATCAAACCACTACTTTTCTATCAGTTGTGGGAGATTGGTCTGCATGTGATTGGTCCCACATTTCCATCACCACCACCTACTAGTCAAGAGGAAGAGAGGTGAAAAGAAGGCACCAACAAACCATCAATGGGTTAGTTGGGAGTCTTTTGTGATTAGAAACTCCTGAAATGATATATTTAATTAATAATTTGAGTTAATTAAATTGTGTAGTCATTAGGTAAAATATACTAAAAACTAAGAATATTTACTCAGTTAGCTGATGCAATTATCTGCCTAATTAAGTTGATCATGTTGTCAGCGAATTCTTAAGTACATAATAATATAAAGTAATAATGTTTAATGTTTTTGGTGTCTTTTAATTGGAATCATATACTGCAGCCCTGAAGAACATCTTTCGTTTATCTATGCAGAAGCATATAATTGTCAACCCATGCTTTCATGTATGAGATAAAAAAGAGAGGAGGGACCATATATAGTGGAGAAGAGATAATTGGAGCAATGGTCTTTAAATTTTAGCTCAATTAGAGTTTTGGTCCTTGAGCTAAACATTTGTGAGTATTGGTCCCTTGAACTTGTTATAATATGGAACAATGATCATTTTGGCTAACTCCGTTACAACTTCCACTGATTTTTTGTCCCTTAAATCTTTTATTTTGGATGGAAGTTCTAACAGAGGTCGCCTAACAAGTTCAGGAACCAAGTCACGGTTCTAGTTTAAGAACCAAAGCTCCAAAAAAATTTATTAGACAAGCGTGTGAGATAAATTCTTATTAATTAAATGGTAAAATTTGAATATAATTAGTGTCAAAATCTATTTTAATGAAACTCACTATACTTTAATCTCTACCATGACTACTTGAGTAGTCAACACCAGATGGTTGGCAATGGCATACACATCTTTCACTTTATATATCAATTAATTAATTAACAAAATGAACGTTCTAAAGTAGCCTTAGAATGTGAAGATTTTCTCAACTTAATTTGTTGCTTCAAAAGTCCAGATTATCACAGATGTCCAGATTCTCAGGAATCAGATAAATTTCTAAAGTGAGCATTATCATTTGGATTTTGCAAGTACTTCCCCATTTACATGTACTTTCACATTCCTTTTTCATTTCCTTTGGATCCTTTCAAAAAGTTTTCCTTTATAGCATTAAACTCTATGTCGACGACTCAAGATGCAGAAAGTCTCAACGTCCCACTTTCATCATTCCAACTCTTAAGTGGGATTTCCGCTTTCTGAAAGAGAAATCCCAGTAGACCAAGAACTAGACGAAACCGAATGATCCAAATACGAACTTGTATTGTATTCTACCTACTTATCGTGAACCTAGTGGCAAAAGAAAGAGAAAAAAAAAGAGGAAAAATAGTAGAAATGAGGCTTAGTGAGCATTGTATATGCCCGTTAAATTACGTTCTTAAAATAAACAAATAAATAAAATTTGAAATGTACAAAGATCTCCACTAGCAAAATGCACATTTTTTCCCAGTTGAGTTCATATTACAAAAACCATTTATTTTTCTGAGTTAAAGGCTGAGATGCAAGTCCAAGCCCAATGCATCGTCGAAACTGGGCCCAACATCCCCTTTCGTGAACCTACTCAACGACGGCCCATCCGCTCTCCCGTGGGCCCGGCCCTGTTGTAGTACCTGATGATGAGCCGGCCCCATTGAAGTCAATGCGGAATCCCCTACACCGCCACCGTAGGAATAACTCCCTGCAGCCCTCCCGTGATTGCTCCCCGCGGGAAACACGCACCCGTGCGATACATGGAACGGGGTGGTCGCGCGCTGGACGTAAACCCACGACGGGTTTGCCGGAGACGCCGCCGGAACCATCACGGATCCGGCCGGAGAGAGGAGGTGAGGCGGCGGAGCGAAGGCGGTGATGATGGGATTTCGGGCGTAGGAGACGGTGGCGTTTCTGCTGGCTTGGAGCTGAGCTCGCTTGAGCTGCTGGCGCTCTTTCTTGTGGGCGTTCTGGTGGCCACCGAGGGCTTGGGAGTTGGCGAATTCACGGCAGCAGTACTGGCACTCATATTTACGGTCGCCGGAGGTGGAGAAGGGGGCGGATTCAGGTGAGCCGGAAGGGGTTGTGGCGGTCTTGGTGGAGTCGAGTACGGCTGATGATTCCACGTCGTCTTCTTGGACATTGAAACCGAAGAGTTTTAAGCGTGTAGTTGTGTTGTTGGTTGGTTTGGGTTCATAGTGAAGCTCTGCAGCCTCGGCCATGCTTGCTTTTAAGATAGAGAAATGAAGTGATGAGAGAGAGAGAGAGAGAGAGAGAGAGAGAGAGAAGGAAAGGGAAATGGAGGATGCAGGGGAGTTGTTGCATGTGTTGGGGTATTTATACACAGGATAACAAAAAGAGGGTCTTCAATTCCATAAAAAAAATAATTAAAAACAATTATTTTAAAGTGTTGGTACCAATTTTTAGAGGTGTTTGATTTTTGTAGTCCAACTCACCATGGTTCAATTTTTAAAATAATCTTAATTATTCGATTTTCAGAATTAATTTTCACATTTTATTTTTCGAAAATCAACCTCAGAACTTCAAAGCGTAGATGTGACTGAGCCGACCACCCTCCTCTAAGGATTTTAACCCTTTAATGATGTAATTTAGTTGATTGGAATCGTATATGTATAATATATGTATGTGTGTATATAGGTGGTAGACGGTGGGAGAGAGACGGTTGCAGGTTGCGGACATCCCAAGGGGAAGAAAGTGAGAGTTATGTAATGTAAAGATGTAAAGATGTAAAGATTTAATGATAGGAACACGACCCAAGGACACTCTAGGGCCCAAGGATTGCACTTGTCTTGCCACTTAATCTACTTCTTTTCAATTCTTTCACTTCTGTTTCTTTCTTTCAATACATGTCAAGGTGCAAGAATGCCCTTTGCTTGACATGATGGGATTTCAAATTCAAAATTATAATTCAATACCGCTATTTAGATGTACATTACTGATCACGTCGTCGAAACATATTTTCACAGAGTTAGTTATATACGAATTTATATGCATTAAAGAATCTGGTAGTAACACGATTTATTTTGTATTTCTAAACAACATTACTGGTTACAAATTGCTAAAGACGAATGTTTGAGTTCTGTCATTTGTGACTTGAGGAGACAATGATGCATGTGATGGCTAGCATGGTACGGCGTTTGGTGTATATGTATTTATATACAAATTAATTTAAAGTAAATCTACATGATTGAGTTTGTCCACTACCGTTTCAACCAGGAAGTGCTTAATCAACGACCATCTTAATTTCTTATTATTATTTGTGGTTATTATATTTTAAGCCAAACAAGCTATGTGATTAACTTGTAATTTCATTTTCTATGAATTGGACCAGGACCATCATATTTCATATGAGCCGCTCACTTAGAGGATTATCAGCCACATGGGAAAAAAAATAGGGTTAGAAAAGTCTGGATGCATGTAATTTAACTTAGTGCATGGGCCAGTACGACTAGTTTTCCTTTCAGTCAGTGATGATGGGAACTTTGGGGAAGATGACCAATCCCTATCTAAAGAAAATAATGTTTCATCAAAATTAAGAAACTTTGCCCGGAGATTGGAGGAGAAATTTTTAATTGTTATAGAAACACAAGTGTACATCACATGTTTTAATAGTAGTGGTAGAAAATTTTATTTTTTAAGTTATTAACTTTTTAACATACATATCTCACTATTTGTATAATGACACATGATGTACTACTCCGTATACCACGTCACACTGAAAAATCTCTCGGATTGGAGAACCTCTCATGCCTTATACTAAAAAATCTTTGTTGGGCAACACGTCTTACACTCCATGACAAGTACACTCTTCTTATTTAGTGTTCGTTTGAAAGTGTTTTTAAATGACTAAACGCGCTTTTAGCGGAAATGTTTGGAGTTCTAAAAACATTTAAAGTGTTTCATGCAAAAAACACATAACTGAGGCTTCTTCCATGAAACACTTTAAGTGTTTTTTCAGGATTAACTTGTATTTTTATTAACAATTTATTTAAAAAATATTTTCATCATTAGTGCTTTCAGTCATTTTAAAAACCCTTCAAACGAGCTCTTATAGTCCTATATATTTATCAAATCAATTGCACACTGTTATTTATAGTCTTATATACTCCTTGCTATAGGGTAAGTGAATTTTACCTAACTATAACATGAATTTTACTATAATAATATCTCAAATTGATTGCACATTATTGTAGATTTTAATTTTAATACGTTATAATGCATGATGAACTCGAGATACAGTCTTATGACATCTTCATTGCATAATAGTCTTTGAAGCTAAAAAAACTGTAATACTACTTTTCTGATTAGGTTTTTGAGTACGTGCAAACTAAGTTTTTCACATTTTAAAAACTTGGGTACTTTGGAATCTCGTACTGTGTGGGGGACGAAACTCGATGAAGCAACATGAAGTCCATTTCTCTATTTTGGGAATTAGGATTCTCTTTCCTCTTTTTTTTTTATTTTATTCTCTCATATTCTCTTATTTTATGTTTTTTTATTATAAAAAAATTAACATAAGATATTGACATGACTTAACCATAACCGTTTAAATAAGAAAAGAAGGAAAAGGAAAGAAAAAAAGAGGAGAGAGAATCTCCTTCCTTTCCCCTGACTCCAACTGCTCCTTCAACTGCTAGAAGCTTAGAAAATTTAAAATCCCAAAACTTGTAACATCCACTCTTTCTCTCTCTCTCTCTCTCTCTCTCTCTCTCTCAACAATGAAACTTGAGTTTCCAAATTTACCATCGCCTCATGGTCCCGTTTGATGGCTCCGGGGTGCTCAATCTCAGGAGCCGACAGCACCCACCAATGACCCTTTCCTTTCCCTCCAAAGTCAAAACTTTATGCATGCAAATATGCAAAATCCAAATCTTTCATGGTTTTTGGCACTCGTGATGGGTCCCACGTCAAGAGATGGATTCAAACTGAGATCTCCTACCGTCGGTTTGCCTCTACTCCACTTCGCATGGCCCACGTGTCACCGTCTACTTATCTTCCATATCTAAACCCTAGTGACGGTAATGATGGCAGTATCGTGAATAAAGTCAACATGGGAAGCTCTTATAACTCAAGCTAGGGTTGGAGAGTTGGGTTCGGGGTGTGTTTGCAACTTATATTTGGGCCCCACGGACCCCACCATTACGTGTTGATGATCAATAGTAGTTTAGGATGTTTGCGTGATTGACGTTGAAGTCCGTATAAGTATAATTAATCAAATGAATAATCAATGAATGTGATTTACTTTTTCTTTGCGAGAGATCTCTGCGAATCTTACTAAGTTACTAACTACGAGAGAAAATTATAAAGACAGACAAGAAGTTGGCTTTCGTAATCTCCCACTTCGAGAGCATAAAGTTGCTTAATTATAAACCCTAACCCTAATAAGTCTTCATCACAACTCCAAACCTGACCCACCTTGTCTCCTCTTTCTCCTCTTTCCTATTTCCTTAGTCAAATTTTCCCATACAAGAAAAATCCCCTCGATCCCATATACCCCATCATCATCTGGACCACCTTTCGAGTGAGAGCTTGCATTCTTTTTCGACCGTTAGATTTCACAATTAATCATGTGTTTTTTGTTTTTGTTTTGTGGTCTGGATAATCAATCATGATTACTAATATTATATACCACAAAACAACAGGCGCCATTACAAAGCTTAAATATGACCTAGATATGCTATGTTTAGGTAAACGAAAGTCAATCACTCCATCATGCATGTTTGATCTCATGGGTATTTAACTTGTTCACCCTCTACCCAAATATCTAGACTTCATTTTGTTTATAGGGAGGGCTTCAATCACATCAAATGAACTGAACTACCTTAACTGATTATCGTTTTTTACGAATTATTCATGTAAAAAAAATTTCAAACAATTTAATTATCATCACGACTATTATAACGTTCTTTCTATTTGTTTGATTACAATTAATAACTAGATAGCGTTTTCATTAATCGAATAACGTTTTTCAATTATTTAATTTTCTACTAACTAAAGAGTGGGAAAAAGAATAGAGTTATTGATTAATTTGAATAATGATCCCACAAGCGACTCATTTCGTTTGTTAAGAGGAGAGATGATTCCTTCATCAAAGGAGCACGCCAATTTGTACAAAGCAGGTAGGAGATGATAGTTGAGACTTGTGATGGGCCATTCCTGTATAGTTTTATGTGGGTCCATAATGCTGAAGTCTCGAACATGAAACATAGAAGAGTTTCGAGTATATTGATAAGGAGGAGGGAGAGTGAGAATCCTATTTGGATTTTTGGAATTCATAAATCATATTCGTTCATTATACATTTTACAGTTATAAATTATTTTAAATTTTTTCATTTAAAATTGAAGATAAATAACACTTGATGAAAACTGACCTTACAATGTACAATGAACGAACACGATTTATGAATCTCTAAAATCCTCTCACCTGAGGGTTGTGAATTATTGTTCTAAATTACTACTGCACATTGATTTAGGACTTGGGATGGGGAATATCTCTGCATTAATTAGTTTGAAATGATGCATTTCTACTAATTAAACCTAACACCTTTTTTGCTTTATTAATTGGATCCAATGATCCCTTTGGGTCGTTCTCACTCATCTATCAGTCACTTTGAGTCTCAAGTCACACTTGAGGGGAGGGTTAGCAAAACCAGGCCAACTAGCTGGGGTTCTCAAGAAATGGGGCTCACCTTGTACGTCCCAAGGCGACCTTCTCATTTACATGCATGTCTGTACCATAAAGTTGAAGAGTTCATTTCATATCGCTAGACTCTCTTTATGAAAATTGAATCCGAAACTTTCATTTTGTTATAGAAATGAATATTACCATACCGCTAGTAATTGAATAAAAGTTACAATTTATATATATAAAAAAAGCCCATTTTCTAACGTTCTGCACTTTTCTCTTTCAATGCATGGTTTGGAGTTTTTATGTTCATTGAAAAAGAAAAAAAAAAAAAAAAGCATTTGGACATACAAGTCGAAACACCGATCAAACATGCCGCACAAGAGGGGAGATCGAGCAATGGCTTAACTGGAAGCTAAAATATAATGTAATGTAATGCATGTTGTAGGACGGGTGACATAGGCACAAGGGTTTCTCCACTGATGGAGGGTTAGGCATGTGAAGCAGCAGCTTCTACTTGGTTGATCAAACTCTGGCAGGGCCCGCGCACATTAGGGCACGTTGGGACCACCTCAATTTCCAAGTTTTGTGACATTGGACCTACAAGGTCTGTCAAATAAGACGTGTTTAAGTTAATTAGTAGTCGGGGTGGTGAGAGGATTGTCCAATCACTAATGTTGATTAATTAACAACTGTCTACTTAACAATGGGTTTCTTGTTCCTGATGTTGTAATGGTTTCCACCATCTAAATATAAAACATATTTTAGGGCCTTAATCATGCTTTTTTGTTTTGTTGTTGATTGAAATGATGCCAATATTATCGTTTTAAGATTGCCTAAATCTCGAGCATGGCCCACCTAGTTGTGCTTAAACCAATGACAAGACAACATCGATTGTATTAATTAAACAAGAGAGATTAGTATTTAAGACATGATCCCATATCATGTTAAAACCCCATTAACTTTCTAATCACCTTTATTTTTGTTTCTTTTCTGCAACCATTACTTTTGGAAGGATCCAAAAAGGATAAAAAGATAACCCCAATGTGTGTGACTTAGTTTTCAAGTTGGAAATCCCTTTTATGGATATGTCTAGGGAATTTTCAAGGGAAATTCCAAACAATATGGGTTACTCAATGAGCCTCTTCCAAGTGACACTACCTACTTCTTTTTCTTAATAAAATAATGGTGAAGGTTGGGTGGAGTTAGCTTTAAGTCATGTGAATTTTGAAGTGGCACTCTTTCTCTCTCTCTATTATTCAACTAATACATACCATTATTAATTAATCCAACTTAATTAGAGCTAAACCCTAGGTTATTTCAGTCTAGAATGTTTTATATATACAAATAATTAAGAGCATCGCTACATGAAGTCCATCAAACTTTTTGGTTTTAAAAATCCATTATTTGAAGTCCCTGAATTGATTTGGAGAAGGACTTTAGTCAATCAATGAGACAAAATCGATGTGGTATGTTTGTTAAAAAATGTGAGAAATAGAGACACCTAGACGGCTACACGAAAAACACACCCAAACAACATATAACCCAAACAACATATGTAGCTGGGAGACACCTGCACACGACATGACAAAAATCACATTTGAAAATTCTCCATTAAATTCTGCTGAATCACTGCTCCCTGCCCTGTGCCACAAGTTCAATGCCATTAGGCCATCTCCAGGACGGCTAAACGTAGTCCTTAGTTATATTTTAGCTTTCTCAAAATTAATACTTTAAACATGATTTTAGGGTCAAATTTTTCTATCTCCAACCATGCAAGGTTATATTCTATTCTCCTTCATATTTTACTACTTTTTAGAGACAAACTTAAACTGATTCTTCTAACTCGATTATCTTTAGTCCTTTGGTTGGAGACTGATTTTGTCAATTTTAGGGCTAAATGTGACCTATAGCCCTTGACTGTAGATGACCTTAGGGTTCTACCAAGTCTATCCATGTTGACTCAGTGACCACTGTATTTTCCTCAATCTTTTTTTTTTTTTTTTTATTGTGAACTAATTTGAGATACTTAGTAGTAGACGGTTCTCACATTTAGTACGAAAGTGTACGCGAGATCGAGTGAAATGAAAACACATAAAAATTTTATATTTTTGTAAGAAGTGCTCTCCGAACAATGTGGTTGAAACACCCCTAAACAAGTGTGTTCTCCAAACCTGGGTGAAAACCACCACATGAAGTTGTTTACCAAAAAAGAAAAAAGAAAAAAAAACCACCACATGAAGTTATAAAACAAGGTGGCAACTATTCAGAACCTACTGTTCCTGAACATGGGGATCGAATCTAGCACAAGATATATATGTATTTATATACATATTTATGTACATAAAAGGATCCCATAGTTTTTATACACATGTGGGGCTTGGTCTTAGAAAATGGGTTTAAGCATTTACTAATCTACATTCTATACATGATCCGCTTAATTAAATTAAACCAAGAACACTCGCATAAACTATCCCATGAATTCTGCAGGAATTTGTCCGACTCTCATGGCTTTCATTAAAAACAAGATCCAAGTGGATGCATCTGTCTAAAGTTCTGAACCGTAGACTTGAAAACATCGGTCAAGACAAACTTTTGGCTTGATTAATTATTGAGTTGGAAAGAATCCTTGGCTTGCTAATTAGGTTTCCCTGAGGTGACTGGTTTTTGGCCAATCCAAAATAGTCCACGCGCAGATAACCTAAGACTCTGTTTACTATTCTTAGTGGTCCCTTATTTTAAGGAAAGGTTAACGTTTTCCATGGTTGTTTACGATGGCGAAGTCATAAATTTTGTTAAAAATGATCAGTTTTAAATTACTATAAAATTAGGATAAATTAAGCTTATACATGAAAATTACTTAAGGAATGACCATAAGTATCAACTTATTTAGCATACAAAATATTCCAAACTTTCCAACCTTGATATCGTTATGATTTAGTTAATTACATTATGGCAGATGATGCTTTACAACAATGATAAAAAACAATTATGCTTACACACCTTGGTGTGAATTTGAATAAAAGTAATTAGATATGAGTATGAAGACTTGAAATTAAATATCTTTTATTTGATTAAGAGGCAAAGAATGAAAGTATAAAATTAAGTGTTGGACCCTCATCTATGAGCAAATTACATTTGTTGGACCTTCCTAAGCTTTAACTGGCTCAGCCAGTCAGTGGCGGAGTCAGGATTACATAACAATGGGGTCATGATAAGTAAGTGTAAAATTAAGCATATTTTTGTTTATAGTTTGTCCACGTAGTAATATCGTATCTTTTGTTTATATGTAAAGCGCTAACAAAAAGTAAAAGAAAACATCAAGCACCACACATGGCAATAAACCACGAATCAAGAAGTCAATACATCCAGAAAATATGCAGTCAAGGACAGAAGTGGAAATAAGAACACGAGTTTTTTTTTGTCAATTAATAAGAATTTGAGTTACGCACATTGTAAGGGACAGATGAAATCTGAATTAAGAAGAAGATAGAGGAAAGAAAGAAGAAAATTGAAGCAGCAGCAGCAGAGAGGAGATTGTTGAGAAACAAAAAGCTAACCTACAAACCATTTCTTTCCTAAACTGGTAGGGATCAAGACAAAAAAACAAGAGGGAAAACATTGGGTTATTGGGGTCATGTGAGCTCAATGACCCCAGCGTGGCTCCACTAGTGCAGCCAGTGGTTGTTTAAACCAATCAATTTGTTGATTGATTGAAGCAATTGTATACTATGAAGTGTTATTAAGAGAAATTTCTGTAGGATGCTTGATTAGGTGGATTTTTACACTTGATAGACCAACGTGAGGTCGAATAAAACTAAAATAAAATTTACAGATAATTTTGTACTTACGTAAGAAATGTCTTACAAATAACGTAACTAAATACCCTCTCATGGGCCATGCATGAGCATAAATAATCTCTGCTGTTTACATTTTTTTATAGAAAACAACTTATGAAATGCAATTTTTATTAATTTTTTCTCCTCCATCGTGGGTATTCTAAAAGTGGGACCAAATTCCTACTCACAAGTCACAACTCATATAGCCCATTCGGACCACTACATCGTCAACGCTGTGATCCAAATCTCAATGGGCTTGTAATATATGCATTGGAAAAACTTTCGGCCATCATCATATGGTTATGTTGACGAAAGTCTAACTTTACATTGATACTATAAAGTTTAAGGAGAGATTGATTACTCTTACCATCAGTACTACGACATACCAACAATCTCAGGTTGAAAGGGCTTACGTGTGATACTTAATTGCCAGCCGTCACCGATATGAATTTACGTAAGAATATACAAACTGCATACCAAAGAAAACTATTGATAGCATGGATTGAACTTGGATTAGAGGTTAACCATGAACACACCCTTACCAACTGAATCAACGGAAATTTATGTTGGAAAATCTAATTTTATGATTGTATTTGTTCGTACACAAAATATGTTATGATTAAACTGAGAGTTAATATGTGATGACTTAAGATAAAATATTAATAAATAGATAACGTGTATAAAATAAGTGAATTGGTACTAATATCACGTGATGGTGTGAGAGTGACACTGAATAATACCGTATGAGGCGCAAAACTGAAAATTTGAGGAATCATAACTTGAACGTGTTTGAAATGAAATGGTGCATAAACATGGATAATTCATGAGAGACTTGAGGATTATGAAATTTAATAATTTATACAGATGCATTTTCTAACTGGCACGTTTTACAGAAGCAAAACTACAACATATGATAACACCAAGAACAACAATTGGGCAACCTATAAGAGAAAAATTTCAAAGAAAAGGCGATACAAGACGAGCCCCTACGCAACAGAACTGCGCGAGCATTTGACACGAATGGATATTGAAACATCTCAAATAATAAAAAATATTCCAGACAGACGGATTCTCAACCAAGTTTTTTATCTGATCCTTTGAGGTTAAGATTGAACCATTTCTTTTTACCCGACTTATCCTTCCCGTCAGAGCCTCCATCTTCCACTGGGCTCTCCGCCTTTGAATCCTCGCCAGGATTTTTGCTAGAGCTGCCGTTAGCCGTACCACTACCACCACCCACGATGATACTGTTTGTCCTGGTGATAGTGAAGGAAGAATGGATATGGTCTCTCTGTTTCAGCAGCTCATCTACCTGATTTAAGTAGAATTATAAGATCCAATCAGAAAACAAATACGGAAGAAAGAAAGGGATAGTGATAGCAACAAAGTCTTCCATTGATTAAAACATAGAGGGGTGAACTTTAAACTTAGAGACTAAGTCCCTCAAATTCCATTAAAACCAGACCAGCTGGCGAGGATTGGGAAAACCAGACTGGCTGGGAGAGTGAACTTTACTAGCCACCCACATCAGATTACGGAGTCTGAAAGTATTCGATGGATTGTGGTGATGAGAGGAAGGCTGCTACACATTTTTCCGAAAGTAATGCTTTGCTCAAATTGATGTCTGAGAGGCTGCTTAGACACTACCATCAAACTTCATTGATGGTTTTTTCTTTTAACTGAAACCCAAAACCTGGCCTAGAATCTAGACTCGGTAAAGAAAAGAAGCAAAAAAGTTGTTCACACGTACTAAGAATTTCATGCAGTAACGAGTATGTTTATGAATGCATCCATGCTTAGCAGTGTGTTATAATTTACAAATGATGAGAACTATGCACAAAACTTACAGATTGCTTTTCTTGGGTGTATCTGTTGGTCACTTCTTGAAAGCGTTGCAATGCCTACATAACATTACAGAAAACTTGTAAATATAAACATTAAACATGATCAATTCCTATTACAAGCCACAGCAAAGAAAATCCAGACCAATACCTTCCTGTACTCTGTCTCAAATTGACGAAGTTCATTTCTCTTTCTTAAAATCTGAGCCTCAATCTCTTTAAGCTTCTCCGTCGTATCCTCGTATGACCTTACACAAAGTGCCTCAATTGTATAGGTAGCAGTCTTAAAAAAATTGTCTCCTGAAGAAATATCAGTGGAGGTTAAACAACAGGATGACCAACGATTTATGACAGAGTTAACCCCAAAAAGCAAAAGAACAAGGGACCAAATCAAAGTTCAGACCATAAACAGCGAATATATGAGTGCCAGCTTTTAGTTCTGAAACCTCACAAGGTTGAAGACCTTCCAACCTCTTAAAGAAAGCAGCTTCAGGGTCCTTTGCCATAGCCAACTACACCATTAAAACCATACATCATTTTGAGCCATAAATAGAAATCTATTAAATCGCCACTTCTCAGGCCCATCCAGAAACAGCAGGAAACAAACTTTAAGAAAAGAAAAATCAGTGTCCTACCGCATTCAAAGTCGAATCCATTCTGTATACTTGAAAATGCAGAAAATACATCCCTGCAGACGTTATTTTGCCTGTCTTCTCACTATCTTCCTGTACATAGAAGCAATAACAATCATATTTCCTATATCCACGTGCAAGTCCCACAAATTAGAACATAGCTGGTATTGACAAAACAAACACATAGTAATTGATACCTAATCCAGTCATGAAAAGAAAAGGAACAATGCTGCAACATTGAATTGTGACTTGCTACAAAGCAAATTAGAACACAAATAAAAACTTAAAATAGCTTATAAATAAGACGTTAATCAGTGGACTGGTCTGGATAAAATGCATTGTAGAATAATGCAGCGCAACACCTATATAGACATTATCTATCTTAGAAACACCCTAAAGTTTCCCTTTTCTAGTAAGTTTTCTTAAAAGGGCTTACTTGAACATACGTCACTTCAGTCAAACATGGGGAGATCTTCATGACAAGATCATGACCGGTTAAAATTACTTTTCATAACAGGTTCAAAAGAGGTTCGGTGACCACTAGATCCGTTCAAGTTGTGTGTGCATGTGTATTGTCGGCACGCTAAAGCAGACAAGTAGAAGCCAACCATTTATGTTTAAATCTCAAATGATTTCAGGCAATTTACTCCAATGGATTTCAAACATGATTATAAAAAAGAAATGAGGTGAAGCATCGGAGAATAATATGAAGTACCTGTAAGGCTAAACCATAACCACCATGGACATCTTGCTCGAAATAAAGTAACTGCACATCACAACGGTTTGATTGAAATATAAGTAAGGGTCCTAGTATTATCAACAAAGCAGTTACATTGAATAGATGCTTCATGGTACATCGTCATCAACAGGATGCAGAAAAGGATATATGTATCAGTATATCGATTGGATATATGTGTGTGTGTGTGTGTGTGTATGCACCTTAAATTTGCTTTGTGCAGTTGAGGTAACTCTAACTACAATCCCTGATTCGGCTTGTTCCTCACTGATTGTTACACCAAAAAAGTGAGCACACTGTTTTTCCACCTGCAGCAAATCACAAAACATGTAAAAGATGCACCAAATCCACTACTGTTTCATAGTGATACGAACAAAACAGCACCTTTCCACTAACTGAAGCTCCAATTGGGAGAGGTCTGACTGTAACTGTACCATTAAGAGCTTCTTCAAGTACATTGGCGGAAATTGTCGTCTTGATAGGGACACCCAACTTGCTATAACGAATAAAATGATTATCAAAAGACAATGATCCAAAACCCACACAAATATCTAACAATATATTACCTGAATAAAGCAGCAAACATTGTATTGACAGTCCCAGGTTTGACAAGTCAATTTCCATGTCCATGGCATCAGCATCAAGAGCCTGAAACAACATAAACAATTAAATTTCAAACTCCATGTAGAGAAATGAATGTAATTTACAAAAGTCAAATCTGAATAGAAGTATTGACTGATGCATTCCTTAAAATTACACAATAGACCCAAACAAATGAAATCAAGAATCTACTCAGCAGTATATATGTTTATTGTGGGTTTGGGGAGAGGGATGGGATGGAATAGAATAGTGAGCTAAATTCAAAAAGCACCTCAAACCCTGCACTGTCGTACTGCCTCCTCTTCTCTGGATCCGACAAGATGCTATACGAAAATGCAACCTCCTTGAAATGTTCTGAAGCTTCAGGATTGTTGGTATTCTTGTCTGGATGATACCTTTTCATAATTTGGTTCAAAACAAGATTGTACTTGAAATATGTCTCAGAATAGCACTCTAGTTATTAACATCACGCTGAATGAACGGTCACGTGTACTTTCATCACATTATAATGATCAAATGCAATAAAACTATGTGAAACAGGAAAAACAAGAAAACATTGCGTAGAATCATGGTTACATTCATGAATTGGGGTCGTTTTACATCTATCAAGGGAAAAAAAATGTAAGATTGATTAGTGAGGGAGAGTGAGGGAAGGAGCTTTTGGGCATCAAGCAATAATTACATCTGCTGATGCTAAAATTCACTTGGCATTCAAGATTGTTCATCGTCTTTGAGGCATTGACATAGACACATGCATGCATGGGGCACCACACAGCAAACACAGCATGGACATCTGATTCTTTCTGCATATCACAGCACGGACATCTGATTCTTTCTGCATAACGTATATGTTTCTAAATAATTCTAGTTCCAATTTTAACCAGTAGATACTGACAGATCCCGCAGAAGGATTCAAAACACAGTAAGGCAGCTCAATTCCCACTTTCTATGGCACAATCATTTCTCTATGATAAACAAATTATTAACACAGCTCGAATGGTGAAGATCAACTCCAAGCAAAATGGCTTAACAAGACTAGAATAAAGACTTACAAAATCAAATCAATCGCCTTCAACAAAACGCAATACACAACCACCACAAACAATTCAAATTCCACACACTAAACCACATTTTTGGCACATGTTCGAAAGCTTGAGCCTATAACCTTGATCGTAGTAACAATATCCTAATTCCTCACTCAGCTGAAATCAAACACTAAACCTACAATAACATGAATAAAACCGAACATTTGAATTAAACAAATAAAGGGAATTGAACTTACTTGAGAGCAAGCTTTCTGTAAGCGGTTTTAATCTCCTGATCAGTCGAATCCCTCGAAATGCACAGCACCTCATAGGGGTCCCGCCGTATCGCCGGCGCCGACGTCCCTTCCAATTTCGAATTCGTCTCCATCTCTCTCTCTCCCTCCTCTCTTCTCTCTCTGAAGAAAATTATACCTTACAATCTGGAAATTAGAGCAATCTCCTTCGAAGCAGCCGAGTTGGTCTAATCATGGAAGAATCGAATTGAAAAACAATAGTAAAATTGCAACTTTTGGTCGTATTGGATCGCTCTCTCTTTTTCTGATCTCGGGAAATGAAGAAGGGATGAGAATTTGTATGGCGAACAGGTCAAGGGATTGGAACAAAAAATTGATCTAATCCAAACGAGGCCTAATAGCTGAAAGAAAGAGAGAAAGAAAAAGATAAATTAGGGTTTTGTACCATTTTCGCGTGTGAGAGAGAGGGAGAGCTTGAGGGAGCCGGAGAAGACCCAAAGCCAGCACACTTGCCTTGTCTTCCCTTCGCAAATTTCCCCTTCTACTCTTTTTTTTGTGTTTTTTTTGGTTTTAGTAATTTACACAAACATCACCTGATCATTTTTTTTTTCTACTTTTTTTTTAGGGTATTTTTGTCTATTTAATATCTAAAACAATTATTTATTCAATTTCAAAGATATACAAAAAAATAGAGAGCAACTAGACTCAACCATATAAAGTAATTGGTTGTATGAATAATCAAATGAGAAATTTATTATCACCTCATGCAGAGATCATATTTAAGCATGCCTAAGTTCTCGGGTTAGTAGGAGACACCATCTTTAATAGATGCATAGCAAACAATATTACAATCACATATTAAATAAATATAAAAAATGATTATTCCTTTTAATTGCCCCTATTATTTTGTTCTTCCAGATTTTGTATTAGGCAAGGTGTTTTGTTAACTTTAACGAAATACTACTGTTACGGTTTATTTTTAACGAAAAATCACATCTTCACATTTTTTTGTATTATTTACCATACCTTTATTTGTCATTTTTCATTAAAACTAAATTTTTTTTGAACTTTTCATTAAGAAAAAGTTTTCTTAAGAATTAAAGGGTTTTTTCACAATGGCAACTTAAATATTGGAGAAGGATAGAAGCGTCACACTATTTAATCGGTTCGGCCGGCCGCCCACGCTAAGCAAACTGTAGAGGTGTAGTTTAACTCATTTGCAAGGTCCATCCAGTCTAAATGCTTTCCATTTTCCCTTTTTATGTGAACATTAACGATGGCCAAAATTAAATTGAAATAGCTATAGTGGTGCACATAATTTACAAAGCCACTGTGTGGGTTGTAATGGCATGCAACTGCTTTGACGTCCCGTTTCATGTAAGTTATTCTCCAGGAAAATGTATTTACACACTCGTTGGAAAACAGCAAGTCCATAAGCCATCCATCAGTTGTGTGATGTTAAGCAGTGGGAGTTGGAGTCTACCCTGATAATCTTGGTGTTATAGGATCCACAAGTCCTGCACTTATGGTACAGCCAGTGGAACGGCGCGGTCCCCTTCTTATCACAGTCGTTGCACAGTATGTCCTGGAGCAGGATACCAAAAATCAATCGCTTTCCTTGGGACAATGAAGATGATAAGGGGACAACACAACAAACGGGAGAAAAGCGTCGGATAAGTTACCTGACAGCGATCCCTGTATTCTTCTGGGAGTTCCTCGGAAGCCAGTAGTGCATCAAGCATGCCAAAATAAACCTGCAAGGCAGTCAAAATCTTTATAGATTACGGGCTTGCAAAGGGGAGTTCCCGTCATTCAAACAAAAAGTTATATCATTACCGCCATATCTCCCATAGATTTGCTACAGATTGGGCAGATGTAGTGACTGCAAGTGTATGCCTGACATGATGGATTAGGGAACACAATTACATATTGATCTTTCCTCGAACATTGGTCCTTTAACTAGAGATAAATTTGGAGTAAAACGGGAGTAGGAACCGAAGGAAAGAAGCTCAAGAGGAACAAGAGAAGGAAAAAAAAAAACCTGGAAGCAAGCTGAATGCATGTAATGGCCACAAGGAAGAGCTCTCACAGTTGCACTTGAGGTAAACAAAAAGTCGCAGCAGATGGGACAGTTTATTTCAAGACCTTTTTCCCTGCATTTGTGATCCAGTAACTTCATCCCCAGGCAACAATTGCACGTCATGCAATGAAAGAAGTCGATGCCAAGTCCCTTCCCAACACGACATAAATTGCAGGAAGGACAATGATAAACAGTCCTGATATAACCGAAAAAGATGAGGTGAGAAACCCAAATTTGCAATCAAAATTCTAGATTCATAAATAAGAAGCAACACCTAGAGCACTAAATGATAAAGGTGTATAGTATACGTCTATGTTTGACTCCAACCCAGACTTCCCCACCAGCAAAGTTAGCATTCCATCAGTTTATGTATGAAAGGGTGGTGCTATCTACACACCCATTTTTACCTCTCACACACCCTTGTCAATTTCTGGCCGTCGGATAGAATGAATTGAAGAAGATCAATGGACAAAAATTTAACAAGGGTGTGTGAGAGGTAAAATGGGGTGTGTGAATAGCACTACCCATCTAAAAATGATGAATCTTGAGAATCCAAGTTAACATAACCTAGTTTCATTTGGAGGAAAAGTTCTGACCGAAGTATGCACCTTTCATCATCAAAAAACTTGCAAACACTACAATAGTACTGTGCCATCGAGAATCCATTACAGGAAGGTGTTGTGCAGACTGGTCCAACAGGCTGAATTTTCAAGCAGCGCATGCACATCATTTCAGATGTAGCCTTCCTGCAAATTAGTCAAAATAAACACGAATGAGAAATGTCCATTCACTAACAAAATTTCCAATAGAAGATAAAGAAATGAAGAGTATATAGTTACCGATCCATTGAATGGTCGCTCACGTTATCATGGCAGAACCTACATGTAAATAACTTGCCACAGCAAGCAGCACGGAGTTTGCAATTTCTTTTATAATGCTCACATCCAAACACTTGTTTCTCTGAATCACGAAATGACGGTGAACATCCAACCAAATCTTCACCATTTGAACCTTCGACTGCAGATGCTTGAGGGGACTTCTGCTGAGAAGCTATCCATCGACTATCATGACCCATTACTTGATCAGGACAAGTGAAATGCAGCATGGATTTACAAGGCTGAACATAAGTGTTCGTGAAATAATTAAAACATGAACGTACCTGGTCATTAGATTTTGAAGCAGATATGCTTTTCTTCTTGGATCAAGAGTTGAATCCCGAGAAACTTTTCTTACTTCTGATTCAAGCTCATTCTGATTCATCCTAAATATATCTTTCCATCCAGGTTTAAATGTGTCATCAGTATGTTCGAAGCTTTCAGAGGCCTCTGCACCTGAAACAGTAGATTTGAAGAGCATGAGAAAGTTTTTACATAAATGTAATATCTACTACACAATTGAATCTTATAGATTTCAAGAAGTAATGACTACGCATTTATCAAAATCATACCTCAGCAATTTCTTTCAAATAACCATAAAAGTAGATTCTGGACAATTTATAACTAGACAGCAGCAAGAAAAGTATCATACAGACCTAAAGATGTGCAACTTTCTGGTGTTTCTGTATGGGAAGATGCAGCTGGAGTTCCATCCCACCATTCATTAAGCCACTCACTGAACATAGTATTTTTGGTTGCTTGCTTCCATGTTTCCATCAATTTATTTTGCTCTTGCTGAGTAAGAGCATCAGTTACCCACGGCAACATTGATTGAAGAACCTCTGCTCCTGTAGTACCAATTATTCTACCAACAATTTTATCTTGTTCTTCCACAGAAAAATGTTTATCAAACAATGGCCACAGTTCAAGTTCTTCACGGAAAACATGGTGATCCAATGTCACTCTTATGGATTTGCACATGCCCTGAAGTTTCGTGGCTAGTCCATTGTACTTTCTCAGCGTATCATCACTCTCGAAAGAATCCAAGCTACTTCGAGTTGAATCATTAGACACATTTCTAGTACTCATTAATTCATTAAGTTGTGAAAGCTCAGAAAGAACAGAAGAAATATCCTCAAACAGTTTCTCTTCCTGCTTGTGATCTAGAGTGTAAGCATGGCTAACATTATGAAGAGTCTCTTTGGCTTCTAATGCTGGAAATACAATATCGTCCTCTGCATTACTATGAGCTCTATATAGACCCCATAACAAACGAAACCTACCGGTAAAATGCCTAATAAAAGCATCATTACAACCATTAAGCTTTCCAGATTCAACATCCAAATACTCCAAGTCCTTACGTATAGCTTTATGGAACTTAAATATGTTATCAATAGGTCGTGCTGTACTACTAGCGTCAGTAGAGCTGGTATCTGTTTCCCAGTTAAAAAGACTGGAGTTAAGCGGAAGAGTAGAAGGATTAAAAGATAAGGCACGCAGAGATTTTGCCGGAGTAAGAGAACCCACTCCTAAGCTACAGTCATTTACTCCCAACCCCGGGACACAGCATGTCTTGTTACTGCAAGAACTTTGAAGGGTATTTATACTTTCTATAGGCTGGCAAGCAAAAGTTTCTGATACTGAGTTTACGCTCTTGACTGGCCTTAGATTGTCATCTGCTCCATCTATTTGATTGCACAAAGGCCTTTCCCTAGCAGAATACATAGAGGTGCACACACATAGTGATTTATAGCTAATGTCTTCTTCGGTTTCACTCAATGTCCTTGGAGGACAACTGATTGCACTTGAAGACAAACAAATGTTTGCAGAACGACCTTTGCATGCCCAGCCAGAAAAAAGAGTAACCAGTGCTGAATCTGATGCTGGAGCTGCATTACGATAACTTTGGTAGTTAGAACAGGTATGCAAGATTATGCAAATAGCATGGAGAACACAACATTTGCTGGAATAAAAATAACAATAGTAATAATTTGATAACTCAGGAGGAACCTGCTATTCGAAGATTTTGAAGAAAGGAACTTGCTTCCTTTTCAGTAAGTGATCCTACCAACCATGGCAAGACACACTCAATCAACTTCAAGGGCATCATGCATAAGCTTTGATACATAAGAACCCGCTGTCTTTTGGGGCTAAAATGCTTACGAGCAAGTGGAAGGACCTAAAATGCATTATACTCATAAGATGACATTTGAGCAGCAAAAAAGATGCTTGAACAGAATAAACGCTGAATCAGAATAACAACATTGTTAAGGCACCCTAGACACTGCTCACAGTCACAACACTCTCAAATAAACTGTTTCAACAAATGTAAAACCGATGTCTAGAATTGGAAACTAAATTATCATATTCATGCATTTGTCTAACAAAATACCTGTAGCATCTAGCTTTCCAGATATAAGAACGGAAAAGAAAATTACTTTTCTTGTATGTTTGGTTTTCAGGATAAAATCCTTGAAGCTTTCAAATACTCTAGTCTGGACAACAAGAAAGATGCAGGGAACTTATTATCAACTTATCAGAGATAATTTTAGAATGTTTCCCTTCCTCTCTCACAAAACCTATAAAAATTGCAGAAAAAAAATTATGTCAGGTGGGAGAACTGATTTCCATGGTGCCCACAACTTTCCTTTAAACGAATTCACAAAACAAATAGGAAAGTTACTTTCCTATAACTTGCTCTCTACTTATTTGACTATGATCTTAGGAATGTGAAAAATAGGTTAGCTATTCTCTCCCTCTCTTAGGCAGGTCAGCTCATTGTCATATTGGAAGTGGAAACAGCACGCACCTGAAGTTCCTCATTCTGGAAGTGCTTCAGTATGCCATCTATTATCTGATCAGCATGAGAGCATAACTTCATATAAAATTCAGAAGTGGATGAGTTAGCTCCTGCCCTCTGGATGCTTTCCATGAGGCACCTAAGCTTGTCAAATTGAATTTCTTCTTCTGCGTGCTCGTGAGCAAAATTGAGTTCTGCATCTAGAGAAGGGAATATAACTTTGTCCTCAGCAATGCTGCAGTGAAGTCAAGAGAAACTCATCTCATAATACGTAGGCAATCATAAGATACCAAGTAAATACAGCATTTGATTCATACAAGTCTTTATACAGCACTGATGTCTAGTGTTCGTTCACAGTTATGAACCCAAAAATAAATAAACTGCATATAACCCATGATGGCACAGAACATATGATCTATTGAAACTTAAGATTACAAGATACTAAACTATACACAACAACAAAGTTATCGTCTCAAAAATCATAACCTTGCATAACTCATGGAACTGAACATTTTAGTAATTAAGACAATTTGATTAAAATATGCACAAAAGGTGGCAAAACGCAGTTCAAGCTAATCCATTATGCAGACTGACTGATGACCCACTACTAGCTGTCCTTGGTCATAATATAAGATGTCGAAGCAAAGAATTCAATGCATTAGGAGTATGTCATTTCGCAACAAGAAGAATATCAAAGGAACAGACAAGGCCAAAAACCATACCTATGGAAAATACAAACTTCTGCAATGAACTGCAACCTCTTGTTGAATGCAGACAAATCAGAAAAATCTTTAGAAAGTTGTATCCTCCTAACGGCCTCAGCTATGTCACTTAACTCTCTTTTTATAGCATTGTGCCAAAAAAGTATTTCATCTATCGGATTCAAAACAATGGTGCTGGAATTATCAGATTGTACGTCCGCACGTTTCCTTTTACAAGTGCTGGAAGATTCGCACACGCACTTCCCCTTATTTACAGAATCTTGAAATTGCCCCTTGGAATTACCTTTGCCCTGAGAAACATTTTCCCCTTCCATCCAGGCAAATACAACCTTCGCATCATAAAAATTAAGGTCAGCAAAACATATATTTCTTTCTCTAATAAACAACTTGAAATGATATGCCGTGAAAAGCAACCCTCACCTGCTGCAGAAGCTTCTCTTCTGGTATTACTTTGCTCAAGTACTTGCGCATATCCTGATGTTCGTCGGATGATATGGAGGAAGAGAGCCATGGAAGAAATTCTGCCATCATGTTAACAGGAATACTACACAGAAACTGCCACACCAAGGAAGCTTGCTCCTCAAATGAAAACTTCTCAATAAGCAAAGGGAAGACCTGCCAAATCCAATAAAACTCAGCATTTGTTGAACAATGGCGAAAATCATGTAAAGTTAACGAGGGGATGAAACAAATACCTGTTCCTCTTCCTTGGACATATGCTGGCTGATTGATGTTTGGATGGCTCCAGTACAAGAAGCCAACTCTCTCCGGTAGCTCTCCTCATTTTGTTTATCGGAGTTTAGCAGCTCAAACAATTGATCGAAAAGAACGCTCTCTCCCTCGTGTTCAAGAGAATACGTTCGAGCCACATTCTTCACCCGTATATCGAGAGCTGGAAATATGACCTGAAAAGCCCAAATCCATCAATTTTTACTACCTAAACAGTTTGCGCATAATCTACAACCTCAAAATTGAGCAAGTATAACCATCACTAGCATAAAATGTAATTAAATAGTTACATAACGCATAGATGATGAGTAATTAAACCAATAATACTAACACTAATCACCAAATTCTCTACAAAATTGAAATCTGAAACAACTGGAATACTACAAGCATACAGTCTCACAGGCCAGAGTCAAACCACAAACACACCTCGTCCTCGGCATTGCAATGGTGCTTATAAATAGCGCGGAGGAAGTGGTAGCGCTCCAGCAAGGGCTGAATTCCAGCGGCGGAGCTGGCGAAGGCCATGGCGGCTCGGTGGAGGCCATCGAGCTCGGAGCGAATAGCCTTGTGAAACAGCAAGAAGATGAGGATCGGCGACTTGTGCGCCGAGCTCTTCAGGCAAGTCTTGGACGGAGAAGGATCGAGCGGGGCTAAGGGTCCAGCCATTACCGCCACAACTCCACCTCCACCAGCAGGAAATGGTGCCGCCATTTATAGAAACCGACACGTCGTAAATTTGGGAACGTGATTGCGGATTCAGATTTCCATAAACCCTAGGGTTTCCTGTGCTGCTGGATTTGGGGAATCCGGTCGGCTCGCCAAAATGCAGACATACACGCGCGCTCGTTTATGGTGGTTCTGATTGTGCGAGCAGGACGGAACGGGCGACAGCACGAGAACGTTCAACGCTTTGCAAATAGATAAGGGAGGGACATTTTATAGTTGTCCACGTCGCGAACTGGCCACCGTGTTTTATAGGTAGGGGACATCAATGAGACTCAGGTTATATTTTAGGGTTGTTGTCGTAAATATACAAGTTTGAGGAGAATGATGACGAGTACCATAGTTGTCGGGAGGAGAAATAATTATATATTACACGTGCCCTCCACGCGTGAGTAAGCCACCACCACGGTGGTTTTGGACTGTGTACATGGACTGTCGTTTTGACCACGTAAGCATCCACTCAGTGATGGATAATATCAGACAGGTAGCACCATCACGTGTACATGGTTTGTCGTTTTGACCACGTAAGCATCCACTCAGTGATGGATAAAATCAGGGAGCCAAGGTGGATCTTATGAGAGACAGGTTAAAGGTTCATTTTTAATAATATTGGTATTATCTTTAACTTATTAATTACTAGCATATGGGCACACATCAAATGTGTGAGAAAATTTTTTGTTTTTGTTTTTGAAATAAAACGAGGGAGGAAGGAGTGATAGAGAACGTGGAGTGAGAAGTTTTTATATATTTTTTTATATTAGAGATATGTTAGGATTACATGTAGATGAGACTTTGAAGAAAAAAACAGCAAAATTTGGTTATGTGAAATTACATTTCTACCTCATATTTCTTATTATGTTCTATTTTAAATATTATAAGGTTAAACTGGTAATTTCATGAAATTTTGGTTGACAATGAATATTTTATTAATTAGTAGAGATTATTTACATAATTCAATATCTGTGAGATTTTATTACAAAAAAATTCAGTATTAATTGAAATTAAGATATTTAAGGCGGAAATGGAGGACGTGCCAATGTATGTTTGGGTGGCACGTGACAAGCCCGTGTTGTTACAAGTTCCGTGTACGTTCAGATATTCTTCTCCCATGGCTTTGGAGATTCCAAATTAACCTACTACCGGAACAGAACTGGTGGCTACGATGCATTATGCCACCGACCGACTACGACGTGCATGTTCACGTATGAACAGTAACTAAAGTTGTAGAAAATAAGAAAACAAACCATTCTATTTCTTTCTTTTTTTTCCCCCTTTTGGAAACTTTAACGTGATAGGCTAGCATATTACTCGTGGTGAGATTAATGTGATAAGGATTTACATGAATTGAGTTCACGGTTTATCAGAGCATTTTAGTTCAATAACAAAGTGTCATGAGTAATTTTTTATTATCATAACATTATTTCTCAAATTAAGAATTCATCATAACGATAAACTCGTTCTATATAAGTTGCTCATCATTATTACATGAAATTAGTTAATTTTAGGGGCTTGATATGGTAATATTGGTATGCCTACTCGTAACACTTCGTAGATCGACAAAGAGAGCTAAAGTAAGAAGGAAGCATATGCAGGAGGACCTGTCGTTGGCATGCAATAACTGGTCAGTGACTAGATAATGCAGAATCTTATGACTTGTAAGTTGACAGCATATTTGGTACTACGGGCTATTAATTTGCACGTAGCAATTTGATGTACCGCCGTATTCACTCTGAGTTCTGACTCTTTGCACCGGGATATGCCGACGTGTGAGATTGTAATAATAATTGTTAGTTAGAAATGTCTCGGTATATGCATAAATAACGTAGTCTAATCAAGTCTCTCTATCTGTACAGACAACTATTTTATAGTTTATAGTTTATACGAAGGTATTTATTCCAAGGTCATATATTATAATATCACGCAGCGCAGGATGATCTGTGGTTGCATGGTTGTTGAGGACAGGGACATTGTATTACAGCTAGTCATGCATGGTCCGTGGAATATTAGTAATTATCTTAATCTTATTATTGTTTCAAACCTTGTATTTGACATGGATGAGTGAGACTCACAATTTTTTTTTTTTTTTGACAAAATGGGGTTAAAAGTAAGAGTCCAAACAAAATTAATCAGTAATAAATCTAGATCGGGACATTTCAAGTCGATTCATCATGAACAAAACTAACCTGAACAAGGAGGATTGTCAAAGTAAAAAATTGCCTAAATCTAAATCAAGATTATAGTTTGCTAAACTGTTCACCACAAAATTCTTTTCTCCATAGATATGTCGAACATCGCATTGCCAAGATCTTGAAAGCAACTCTCGACATGCCATGCCCAAAACAAGAGGACCTAAATGATGATTGTCGCCAGCAGCTTGCAACACCAAATGAACTGTGAGTGCAAAGTCTGATTCTACTAATAGTTTACGAATCCGTAATCTTCGTGCCAATTGTAAGCCCAAACAAATTAAGTCCCCACAGCTCATCAATAAGAATCTTACATGTGCCCAAATTGGTAATACATAAATCCATTTACCATCATGATCTCTTAAAACACCACCTGCTCAAATAAAGTTATTATTTCCCTTCTTACAACTATCAATATTAAGCTTAAGCATATAACAAATTATTTCCCTTCTTACAACCATTTACCATCATGAGCCTCTAAATGTCAAAGATGTACTTGTGGCTTTGAATCAGTGGTTATCAGTCATACCCCTTTTCAACCTTCGATAATTGATTAGGAGCCTTCACTAGTTCCACATAAAATACATTTATCAGCCAATGCATATAACAAATTAATTTTCCCTTATAAATAAAATAATTAATTCCCCTTTGCCTATTTCATAATGTTTTTATCAGGACTTTTAGCATGAATAAACTATAAGTAGTTGGTGAAGGCAAATTTAAGAAGAATAATATTTGGTTACTCACTGAGGGTTATCTAATTTACTAACCAAATGACATTGGCCAATAAAATCAACACAGCTGTCCCTTTAATTCTTTATTAAACTTTTGTTATGTTAAGAAGCAAACAACCCTCTTCCTCCCATTACCCCTGCCATGGCAGGTCTGGACAAGTCCTATCCTCCTCCAACCTCCATCAACCCAATCCCGTGGCCTCGTCGGCTCCGGCATCATATGCAAGCTTCAAGCTCACTCGCTAAGCCGACATCGAGTCCTTAACCGAGAAACCCCAATTTGAAATCCTCCCAGCTTTCGTCGGGGCAATCTCGCTGCAGGGGTGGGAGAGGATGGTGGCTTGGGATAATGGGATGGAAGGCTGGTATATGGGTGGGATTTCAAACGGAAAATTAAACCAAATTTGGAAAAAATTTCAGATTGAAGGAGGGTTGGGTGGGCTGAATATGGGTGGGATAGGCTTGGGGGGGTGGTGGGAGAGGATGATAGCTTGGGATAGGTAGTGGGATGGAAAGCTGGTAGTATTTTGGTGAGGGAGATGACGTGGTCGGATAGCACGATAGCATATGTCTGGCAAACAAGATAAAGGCTGACTGGTATGTTTGGTTCTTAATATAGCAAAGTTTAATGAAGAATTAAAGGGACAGCTGTGCTGATTTCATTGGCCCATATCAATTGGTCAGTAAATTGGATTATTCAGAAAGGAAATGGATTCTCTCCTGAGCATCTGCTCAGATCCTACTCCCACGTACAAGGACTGTTGAATGAAAATTCAACGGATACAAATATGAGGATTCTTTTAAAGTTATAATAATTGTAGCCGTTGAATTTTCATCCAACGATCCTTGTGTGTGGGTCAATAGGATCTTGAGCATATGCTTAGGAGATAATCTATTTCCATTCAGAAATTCAACCAATCTGGGGCAAAGAAATGCTTAGACTTCTTTTAATTACGTACATAATTAGCCATCAGTTTACTAGCTAGTTTTTTCTTTGTTCTCTTTCAACTGTTATGTATAGGTAAAATTCATGACGATTTTATACTTCGTACTAGGATGATCAACGATCAACAACACCCAGTAACTAATAAGTAAAGGAATTTCGGCGCAATAGAACAACCCAAATAACGTAAGTACGTAGGTCAATAAGAGTACATGTGTGTATATACATTTCTGATACTGCAAAAAATTTCAAAGTATATTCTACGTTGATCATGCAGCTATTCAGCTATACATATATCCATAGTATATCCAAAGATCTTCATGTCAAATTCAATTCATATCGAACTCGTAAGTACGCATACAATTGAGATTAAGCATACAAATCAGATTAAACATATAATTAATTAAGGACAAATCTGAACACGGTTGATGCCACTCCCACGCACAAGTGGATGAGTGGAGGATTAAATAATTTGGGAAGAGCGTGTAGTGCTTATGTTTGGCACACACTCTTCATTTGTAAATTCAAATCACTTTGTGGATAACCCACCATTACTACTAAACTATATCTTCTTCTTTTTAAGATAAAAGCACCTTCCTTTCTCATTTTTTTTGTTTTAAAATTTTTCTAACCAAAATTAAGCATGTATCTTTCTTAATTAACGTCCAGGTGGCCATGTAAATTATAAGTGAGCGTATTTATATGCAGATTACCCAACAGTGGCTAGGAAACCTCAGAGAGTGTTGATATCTTTCTTCAGTAGTACTGGGTCCACCATCTGCATATCTGCATTACCCTCCAATGGCATCCACGTACACCTGCCTTTTTAGTAAATTAAATACACAGTCATGAGTCAATTTTAGGGTTAGTGGGAGAAGCTTTGAACCTTATCATCTGTGTCTTTCGACTTTCGTGTGTCTGTCGTGTGCAAAGTGCTCTCCCATCTCCCCTGGAAACCCCCTGCTAGCTCCTGCACCACTCATACTCAATGATATATATATGTAGTGCAGTATGCATGGAAAAAGCTTATTGGTTTCAGATATATTTGGTCGCACTATATATGGTTAGGTTAACTTTTGATTAAATTGTTTGGTTCGTAATCTTTGACCACCTTTCCTTTCCCACCATCAACACAAATCATGAGTGTTTATCTATTAACCCACTCCTTGGATTTGGATACAGACCACGTACGCCATCAAAATATGAACACATCTGACATTTCTGCAAATTCTATTAACTCAGTCCCATTCTTGCACTATTATGACCAAACTATGCAATTGATTGTCGTTTTGGGGATATATATGACGCATAGATTAAGGACAAGCCAAATCTTCATGAGGACTACTTTTGGTCCATGTGGCGCATGTGTGACTTCCACTTCAACTTGCAAATAACTCTTATGTTGTGTCATCAATTTAACATATGATAAGAAGGTTAAATAGTCATAAGAGATAAATTGATATGATTTCAAAACATTACATCGTGTTGTGAGAAAATTAAAATTTAACGACCTATTTAGAAAACCACCGTAAACTTAAATAGTATAAAATTTAGTTACACTGGCAATAAAAATGCTTATAAGCATTAGTTCTTATCTAAACTACCTATTAACAAAACGCTATTTGTCACTCAAAAATGGTGAAAAGACCAAATTAACTCTGTCAACACAACCAAAGAAAAATAAAAGTTATGGACACAAAATAATGTTATTTTTTTTTTCAAAGCATCGCATTAGGTAACCATATAAGTGGCCACTATTTTCTCTTCCATGTTTTTCTTCTAATTAAAATAAACTTTTAGTGATGTAATAGTTATCCAAAAAAAGTCGTTAAAAATATGAATAACCTCTTTAGCGACAAAAAAATTATTTGAAAGTTGTCGCCAAAAAGTTTTAGCAATCATTTTATATTTTCTTTCTTGGTGAATTTTCTTTTCAAAATTTTAATAAGCACATACATTGCATGCGTATAATTGCTAGTTGATTATATAAACAATCTCAAATGGGTGAGGACAGTGAGGAGTGAGGAGGCCTGTTTATGAAAGCCCCATGCGAAGTGGGGCGTGTCAAGCACCGAGAAGCAGCCCAATCTAAAAGTGGGCTTAGCTAAATTCAGTTGAAACAAAAAAAAAAAACACCAACGTGCGGCTACTTCAACAGATGGGGTTGGTCTGCCCTTCACTCATCATCCTCTTCTTATCTTCTCTTCCTTAAGTAATCACGGTTAAATCACGTCAATATTTTATATTCATATAACTTTTTATCTTATTATTTTTATAAAAAAATTAATATAAAAATTAATATGATTTACCTTCAAATAGGAAAGGATAAGAAGGAGATGAGGGCAGACAATCCCATCCCTACTTCAACGACTAAAACCGCCATGAACGGTCACATCAACGTCACTGTTCCCGCATTCAATTTCCGTTACAGTTGTGCCGCCGTTTGGTACAACCACTCTGCGAATTGAAAACCCTAACCCTCGCACTCTTCTCTTCATCAACCTTTCCGTCTCATTCTTCCAAATCTTAGCAATGGCAGCGCACCGGAAGCTCGCTGTGATTCTCGAGAATCCTCAAAACGACGCCGAATTCCTCCTCGTGAAACAGACGCGACCGCCGAAGTTCGACGACGAAGAGTACGACTCGTACGTCGATTCCGATCTCTGGGACTTGCCCTCCTCCCAATTGAACCTTCTAGAAGGACAATCGAAGCCCTCGATTGCAGTGGCAGGCGCAGAATCGTTGTCGGGGAAGATCGATTTGGAAAAATTCGATTTCGATTCTGCTCTCAACCAGGTATCTAGTGGTTTCAATCGTCGAATTGTAAATTTTGGGTTTAGGGTTTATGTACTGATGAGTATTGATTTAGTAGGTTCTGGAACAAGTAGGGTTTAAGGCAGCTGACGGTGGAGATTGGAGGTTGTCCAAGTACGTGGAGGAAGGTCAGTTTGGACCCGGTCCGCCCATTAACTCGGTGTTCATTAGGGGAAAATTGGTAGCACCGGAGCAAAATTTACAAGGTTTGCTCATATCACTGTCACTTTAGCAGTTCTTTGTTTTCCCTTTTCGAACTTTGTTTAATTTACTAAGTAAATGTATTTTGTATGAATTATAAAATGATAATGGATATGATATTTTGGTGCGATATATGCAGCTTATGTTAAATGTACATATGCAGAATCGTGTAAATGGATGTCTGTCCCGAGTTGTCTAAGCTGGCTTGTTGAAGTGAAACCAAGCAGTGTTCGTGTGGGGCCATTGATAGTTGCAGGTCTTCTAAATGAATCTGAGCAATCAAGAAAGATGAACATTCCGTCCACCTTACCTTACCAGGTTTGCCGTAGTGTTTTCGGTCTTATTAAACCCCTTCTTTATTTCCATTACACGCATTGTATTATTGTGTTCCCGCGGAGTAAAGATTGTTGTGATTGCAGGAGTACCCTCCTGGTGTTGTGCTTGTACCTATGGGAAGCAGGACAGCAAAACCTTTTTATACAACAAACCTGGTTGTTTTTGCACCCAAAAATGCTTCAAATGAATCTGGGAAGAATGATTTTATTGCTTGTGGAGATGCATTGATAGTGGATCCTGGGTGCCGGTCTGAATTCCATGAAGAGGTATGACATGTTGGTTTGCTCTGCTGCCTCTGTAGTATGGTTTAGTTTTAGCTATTTTTTGTAGGTCTTGGTAACATATTTTATACTTTATACATTCAGCTTGCACAAATTGTAACTTCATTGCCAAGAAAGTTAGTTGTCTTTGTTACGCATCACCATCAGGATCATGTGGATGGTAAGCTTTTGTAAAACTAGAAAAAATATAATATCATGTTTATTTAACTTTTGCGTTTGGTTAAATTAAATTGACATGTAGACTTTTGATCTTATTGATGTTTCCAGGTCTTTCAGTTATTCAGTGTTGCAATCCTGATGCTACTTTATTAGCACATGTAAATACCATGCGACGCATTGGAAAAGGTTGTTATCTTAGCATCTTGTCTTTCCAGTGACTAAGAAGTCTAGAAATAAGGATCTTAGCTCAATTTTGTGATTGTACCGCAGTTTACTGTGATTTCTAGATGAGGTCATTTTGAAACTAACTTTAGATGAAGAGGAAAGACCTTTATTTCAAAACGCTTGATATCCTAGTGTCTGTCCTCTTTTACAATTTTGGATTGTACATCAGTAAAGTTTTTAAATTAAAAACGTAGAATGACTGATAATCATTTAGTAAGATGGAAGATGGATCCTTCTTATGAAATTAGGGATATGAGTTGCTATTACCTTCTAGTTTACTATTTTATTATTTTGGGTTGTTTGTTCTGCTCTTCTTAAGGTCTTCTTATAAAATTTACTTCCTAATTTTATAGTATTATATGATGACAGATGACTGGTCTCTTGGGTTCACTGCAATTTCTGGAACTGAAGAGATTTGCATTGGTGGTCAGCGATTGATTGCCCTTTTTTCTCCGGTACTTCTCACTTGACTTTCTTATTCAAAACAAAATCATTGATGAAAGGCACTGCAATAGTGTGATGAACCTCACTACATCCCTTTTTTTCTCTCTCAGAAGTTCAATCTCTGAGTTTAACCAGTAAAAGCCACTTGTTCTCAGATATTTTTAAGCCTATTATTTTTCCATTATTCTAATGAGTTATTAACTGTTTGGTAATCCTGATATCCTTGCAGTAACATTAGCACCAATGCTTTATGCTTTCTTTAGGGAAAAAAAGCATACTGAAGGTTTTGGTTTCATATTTATGACCAATGATATAGAGTTTTACTGATTTAGTCCTTCTATTTGATACAACTCTGATGTTAATCTACTATGCAGTTTGAAAATAATATTTTATTGACTTTAATTCAGGGGCATACAGATGGGCATATGGCACTGCTTCATGCCAGTACTCACACATTGATTGTCGGTGATCATTGCGTGGGGTAAGATAGAAGAGAATTCTGCTTTGTTATGAACTTATGAGACCCCTAACCTATGATTTGATCAGCCCCTTGCTTGTGAAAACATGTCGCAAACTTTGTGCTATACACTTACACCAGCAATAGAAAATATATGTGCCTTCTTGTTTGCATTTCTCAGTTGGTTTATGTTTCTAGCTTGCCTGTGAATCTGAGGGATTAGAATTATCATCTTTTCCTTCAAAGTTTCCATTCTTTTTTTTTTTTTTTTTTTTTTTGTAATCAGTTTTGGTTCTCGAAATTAGGTTTTATTATAAGTCAGACATTTTTACCTGTTGTGACTGCTTTGCTGAAAAAAAACTTTGGTTTGTTTCAGTCAAGGTAGTGCTATACTGGATGTTACTGCTGGGGGAAATATGACTGTAAGTTTCTATCTATGGTATATTACTTAAGTTAATTTTCTCTAGAAGCAGAGGTTGATGGTATATGCCACATGTTATGGTGGTTTAGCTTATTCCCGTTGTCATAATTAAATACATATAAACATTTTTTTTTTTTTTTTTAATTTCGAATGCAGGATTACTTTGAATCAACTTACAAATTCATGGAGCTTTCCCCACATGCCTTGGTCCCCATGCATGGGAGAGTTAACCTGTGGCCAAAGCACTTGCTTTGTGGATATCTCAAGTATGAAACTCTCTCTCCCTTTCCCCCCGTTTTGTATGTTGGTAAAATCATCATCACTGTTCTTGGCCAAAAAACTAGAATTCAGAATGGTATTATTATGTCACTATATTAGATGTATTCAGACAGAGGAGTATTACCTTTCAGGAACCGCAGAGCTAGAGAAAGTTCTGTCTTGAAAGCGATAGAAAATGGAGCAGAAACATTGTTCGACATAGTTGCCACTGTATATTCAGGAGGTTGATCGTAGGATTTTGGATTCCTGCTGCATCTAATGTGAGGCTTCATGTGGATCATCTTGCCCAGCAAGATAAGTTACCAAAGGTAACATTTTCCTGATTTCATGACGTAATCTTTAACTTGGTCCAACATCAATGCAACTTTGGCATGCACGTTGGTTGTTGATTTGGGTGAACCTCAGACGCATTGTTCTTGAAGTATATTCATGTTAAATTCAAATTCAAACAATTCCCTTTAAGGTGTGCAGGGATTCTCTTTAGAAACTTTCCATAGCAGTTTGGCTGAATTCTCTGCCAAGGTGGGTAAATTATGAGCCCAAGTGAGGAAGCTGCTCTCTCTTTGGCCCTATTACAAACTACCTTTAGGTTAGATAACTAAACTTGCATGTTTGGCCCGAAATGATATTTGATTATTTGCAGCTTAATTGAATCCTTGATATATACAGAGCCCAGACAAAGAATCTTAAAATGTTTATGAATTGAATTATGTCATATCCGTTTTTCAGGTCTCATATGTTACTTACAGAAAGATGATCTTTTTTGTTATTTGATCGTTGCACCCTTATCAGTTTTAGCACCGAAGAGTTAAACAGTATTTCCGGTGTTGATTATTAACGCACATGGGGCATATAAAAGCTTGCTGCATTACTTCGTGCAGGAATTCTCGATTCAGAGGTTTCAAAAAACTTGTAGGCTGCACTTCTTCTCTCGATGGATTGGGGCATATTTAAGTAGTGTTGTCAGGTTAAATTGTTCGAGGCCAAGGAAATCTCAGGTTCTTGTTGCCGGGGCGGTGGCTAGCTTTGCTGTTGTGTTGTACATGTTTAAAAACAGGCTTAGTCCCAGATAAGACTGTTTTAAAATCTATTTCTAGGATAAGTCCCCAGGAACGCGCTGTACTTGTTTGTTAATGTCAAAATTGTACAACGCTTTCATTGTTTGATACCAGTGACATTCGTTCATCGAAGTCAGATTGACCCCAGAGAAAAACCTTGGTTGGTAGGACGGGCTTATACCCCTCTCTGTCTCTCTCATCATGGCCACTCGATGATTGAGATGAACACAGGGCGTATAAGTTCGTCCCATGCAAGTGTTTCCTTGAGGCTCCTTTTCAGGTGCTTTGGTCAATTGCCAATTCCCTTGAAAACGATTCTTAACTCAATCTTGCGTTCAAAGCAAAAAAAAAAAAGTAAAAACGCTCCCCAGTTATCCTAAAGGACGAAACTGAAACACTATTCTTTCAATTCGTCGGTGTATACGTCGCTTTTGATGTACGTATAAAATACCTATATTTCTGAAACCTTTGACACATGATATTGATGAACTCTGCCCTGTGCTCTCTACTGATGTCCCCGTACTCCGTCACAACGTTTTTAAGGGCTGTGATGGTGTTTCTCATGTGCTCTTCCCCTCTCCAATCAAACGTTTTAGCCTTTTAGGCCTACCCATTTCTCAGGCACCGACCTTTTCTCACTCGGTATCACTCAGCACACTCCCCTTTACACACATTTCACATGGATGACCTATTTAACGCAAGAAATTTACCTATACCGACTACCGTGACATTCCAAATGAATACACATGGAATCGCGTTATTTGTTCAGGATGCTAAATTGGCGGACTAGGAGCGCAAGTCTCTCTCCTACATATATATCTAGCTTCTTGTTTTGAGTTTTCACTTTTCACACGCTCAGAATCAGACCCAAAAAACATAGAGTTATGAAGCAAGGGAGGCTCACAGTAGTTGTCAAAGAGCTTTCCGCAGGCCATTTTCATGTCAAAATCACTATCATCCTCTCTATGTCCATGATTTTATTCATTATCTTTTTCGGAATCTTTGTTAACGATCACACGAAGAAATTCCTAAGCTCAGATCAGATCGTCCCTCAGCTCAACACATTCACCCCACTCTCACCTCGGCCTTCCTACACACATCATTGCCAGTGCAACTTTTCTTTGTCTTCTGGCTTACTGCCCATTAGTATTTCAAGTCCAGGAGGGTCGACATTGAAAGATTACTTAGCTCCCAAGGATCTATGGCATTCCATGAGTGACGAGGAGCTCTTCTGGCGAGCTTCGATGGTGCCACAAGTCATGAAGCACCCATACAACCGAACACAAAAGGTGGCGTTTATGTTCCTAACAAAGGGACGATTGCCATAGGCGCCACTTTGGGAAAGATTTTTCAGAGGACATCAAGGCTTCTACTCTGTTTATCTCCATTCAAGACCAGACTTTAAGATCGAGCCACCGGAGTCCTCGGTGTTTTACAAGCGCAGGATACCAAGCAAGGTCAGAACTTTATGTTGAAGAATGCATCAACTTTTACGTCGGAAAATTGACCAAATGAAAAACAATATATAATGATTCGTTATAATATGTAATTTGGGGACATTTTCGGTTTGATTAGCAGTAGATTTTTGGCCCGTCTCTTTAAAATTTTGACACATTAACGATGGAAATTAAACAGTAATTAGTGGGATTTGGCATGCAATTCATTAATTTCTTCATGAAACTGTACTCTGCAGATAGTTGAGTGGGGAAAGGCAACAATGGTTGATGCAGAGAGGCGCCTATTAGCCAATGCCTTACTCGATTTCTCAAACGAGAGGTTCGTTTTGCTCTCTGAATCATGCATGCCCCTCTTCAGCTTCACTACAATCTACAAGTACCTCATCAACTCCAACCAAACTTTCGTTAGCTCATTCGATGATCCAAGACACATTGGTCGCGGGCGTTACAACCCGCAAATGTTTCCAACCGTGACATTGTCAGACTTGCGGAAGGGCTCGCAGTGGTTTGAAGTTCACCGGAAGCTTGCGGTGAAGGTAGTTTCGGACGTGACATACTACCCTAAATTTAAGGACCTTTGCCTGCCTCCTTGCTACACGGACGAGCACTACATGGCAACTCTTGTGACTAAAGTTGGTGCTGGCATGAACTCCAATAGGAGCATTACTTGGGTTGATTGGTCAAGAGGTGGCTCGCACCCTGCAACGTTTGTGAGGAAAGATGTGACAGAAAAGTTTCTCAATTGGTTAAGAGATGGATTTAATTGTACTTACAATGGTGGCGTGAGTTCCATTTGCCACCTCTTTGCAAGAAAGTTTCATCCAAGTACACTGGACCTATTGCTCAGAATCGCTCCACGTCTGTTTGGATTTAACAACTAAGATTGCAGAGGTGTGTTAGACCAGTTGACAGTTGGCCAAAGCAGCATATTTATCACTCTGCACTTGAGTTTGAATTTCTTTTTAAACTCATAAGTTAAAATAGTTTAGAAAATTGCATTTTAAAATTAAAATAAAAGAACACTAACTAGAATATAATATATATATATATAATCATTTGTATGAAGTATGTTGGTTGGTGTATGGATGTCAAGGAAACTTGCAAGCTAAACAAGTATGATAATCTTTGCTTGCAGACATTGAAATTGTAATTCCGTGTTTCTCCTGGACGATTTGACTCAATAATATAGTACTAAAAATATATCATAGAACATGTGTAATGCATGTGACGGCAGAAATTTCTTACACTCCTCTCTCCCTAAATGTATTTTTTTTTCATTCCTTAAAAAAGTGACAAGCTGGCTTCAGCACAGTAGTCCATCATTTTAGGAGTTAGAAAGACTCACATTGGGATTTTACCCTCTCTTGTCCACTATTGTGTGATTCACCAACAACAAGAATCAAACCCAAGAGTGCCGTATAAAATACAAACATGAAATTTGTCCCTAACCACTGGACCACCTATGGTGATTCTCTCTCTCTAAATATATTTGCTAACCTTTTAGCTTCATCCCCTTGTCATATAAAAATGATTGAGACCATAATTAAAAACCATTATTCTTTTTTTCCTTAGCAGAAATAGGTGGCTTTCTACAAGTTATAAGTCTTTTTTTTTTTTTTGTAGATAAATCATAGTATGATATGTACGTATATCATTTTTTGTGATTATACAAGTATATTTGCTTATCTAGTAAAGTTAAATTGTACATGTAAATAAAACAGTCAAACAATGTCGTCTCAACAAACAAAGATAAATTTCTATTGGATATTGTTGTTGTGCACCTTCGTTGATTACTTTCGCAAAAAAAATTGCCAATTGGAGTAAAGACAGGTGCGTAGACTGGCAGAAGAGCCTCCGCCTTCCCCACATTCCTCTTGCCCTTGCATTCAACAGCTTGGTTGTTTGGCAAACAGTTGTCATCCATGGATTAATAAGCCACCTGAATGGACAAGGACTTCGTCCTTCTACTTTTGTTTGTTTTTGCTTTAGGACCACGGACACCAAATTTTACCTTCCAACTGAAATTGGAGTACACCACCACGACCAAGTTGTTGGGTAAATTAATTTTCTTTGCCATGAAGAAAATATATGCACGTTAGTATTCTCGTTCCATCCATTCCATTATAGGGAAGGCTTTTGTAACGGTTGGTTTGAAAGTATTTTTAAAATGATTGAGACCGTTTTTAGAAGAAAAAAAATTATTTCAAAAGCACTTCAAGCGCTTCATGCAAGAACCAGTTGCTTCTTGCAAGAAGCACTTCAAGTGTTTTTATAGGATTTACTTACATTTTTACTAAAGATTGGTTCTAAAAATATTTAAATAAAAAATGTTTTTAGTCACTTTAAAAGCAATTTCAAACTAGTCCTAAATTTGTTTTCTGTTTTTCTTGTTTATTTTTCTTATTAACAAGTCACTTCGCTTTTTTTCTTATTGATTCATAAGTCAATCCACATGACAGGTTTAGTCATGTAACATTTTGTCTTCACTTAATTAAAAATGTCTTAATTCCTACTCAAATAAATTGAAAAAAAAAATGTATGTATACTATCTGGTTTACAAAGTCATGTATACAAACGATAAGAGAAATATTAAGAAGATTTTCTTAAAAATGAAATTCTTCACCACATTATATTTTCTTGGTATAATTTTCTTTTCAATGTTATAAAATATTATGAAAAAAACATGAAACGAAGAAAAGGCTCTCTGTCATTTCCTCGACAATAATTGCGACCAAAAAGAAAATACGAACGATGATTTGACGATGGCGAGACATGTAAGCAGTCCATTGTGGAATGTTGAGACCAATGCTTTACTAGCCCGACACCCTCGCACCTTCTTTTGGATTCGGCTTCTCTGCCCCCGGTTCCTACACTTTTATCATTTTTTATACGAAAAAATGAGAGTGTATGAAAACTGGAATGGTAAAGAAACCGGATTCCCTTCTTTTTGGTGTAGAAAATAAAACAGGGACAAAGCGCCTTGTTGTCAGATGCTCATTTAGTTGCACGGATCATCCACAGTTTTCTCACTCTCATCACTTGTTATCTATCTCAAAAGGAGCAAAAGATAGGGTAGAAAAATTGATGGGATCCGCATCTAAATCCCTTATAATTTGGTTAAAACCAAACAAAACAAAGTACTCACATCATATACAAAATTGAGTTCTGGATAGAGAAAGTGAAAGGAGATTCTTTTAAAGTATGATTCTTTATGGATTTTTTATCATTTTATATTTTTTTAATAATATTTTAGGGATGAGATCTTTTGATATAGGCGCATCGGTTTTGAATTTTATAGATCAAACATCCCTGCTTTTTAGTGATTTGATTAAACTTTTTTTTGTCATAATTTTGGTGCTATATGCACATTGTATTGTAACAAATTTCCTATAATCTAGCATTTTGATTACACTCTCCTCTGTTAGAGATAATTGTAAAAAAAAAAAAGGAAAATGGTTAGATTCAATTTATTTTCACAATAATGCTACAATTTAGCAATAATTATCTACGATTTAAGATATTTTCTTTCCAAAATAGTTTAAAATATTTTTAAATCCCACAAAATCAAACGTACTAAAATAAGTTTTTCTTTTAGTACGTTAAGAGAAAATAGGATTGAGAATAATATAAACGTACCAATACACAATATGTACAAAATAAAACGTACCAAAATAAAAATAATGTACCGATATTACCAATATATATCAAATCAAACGGACCAAAATTGCAAATAAATGTACCAATTAATGATTTTTGTAAATTCAAACGTACCTCCAGATAATATATACGTAATGTATTGTACCTACTAATAATTTGTCAACAACTATACTTAAAAAAACAACAAAAAAAAAATTTGAAAAAATTACACAGAGCTTTTATATTGATCACCAACTATTTGAAAAAAAAAACATTTGGAAAAACAAATAATATTAAATGCTTGCATAACCAAAAAAAAAAAACTATGATCGAAAAAATATATCTAGAAGAAGAGAAAATATAGTTTAATTACTAATATCTCCACTAAATAAGGAAAAGTGCATTACGCAGATAAAAGGATAAATTCAAAAAGCATTTTAATTTAAAAAAATATATAATAATGACATGTCATTTAGTTTGAGGTGGCTATTGGTCAAAGCATTTTAATCAAATTTAAAAAGGCACAGATATTTAATCTAAATGATATAGAAAAACCATAGGGGATTCTAATTTTCTCAATATTTTATAATATTGACATGGAAATTATGCCAAAAACATGAATGGTGGAGAGTTCAGAGTGTCCCTCTTTTGAGCGAATCTCCTTAGCAATTCCATTCTGGATAATGAATATAATTCACCGTCGAAAATCAGTGCAACAATAACTGAGAAACTTTTTATAATGTTTTCTAATATATATATTAGTATTTTTTTGGACTTTTTAGTGTGCACCGATATATAGCATACATAAAAAAATTTAGTCATGAGATCTTTAGTTATCAGATATATTTGAATCCTGATTCATCTAATAAGTGTTCTATATTGTAGTCAGTGTTCAACACATCCACAAATGGTTGATATTTCCATTGAAATATCGGAAAAATCAAGGATCCATATGAAAAGGGGTAAAATGAAAACTTTACCCTGCATCAGCGAGATATAAGGAAATTAATGAATATTGACAAAATTTCTAATTCACTATAGAAATTTTGTAGGAATCCAAAGTAGATTTTGAACTTTTTTGTGAGATTTTTGTTTACTAATTAGTAATTTGACTAAATTTGTATAAGTTAGTATATACATCGCATTACAAATTTCCATGTCGAAAACAATTCATATCAAGATACAGAGATATATCCATCAATATTTTGGCTTATATTGATATTTTAAACCCTAACTCTAGCATAATAGAATTTTCGGGTAATTCTTTCCTGAAAAGAGAATAATAATTCGAGAGATTGAAATTGTCAAAGATAGCATGGGAATGGAAAAACACCGCCGGCCATGCCATCTGGAGCTTTATGGTTGCCAAAAGTCTGGGGGCGTTTAAATGGTCGACCGAAAACGTGTCGAGAAACTAGAGGATGCGTTTCTCACGCGGACTATTATTATTGTTACTTAATACTTTTTATTAAAATTATTAATTGGCGGCTTTTAATATTGTAATTCAAAGTCCAATTAATCCCAAAAATAACGCCTCCATCGTTTCATAATTCTTTACTGTTACCGTCAGTAAAACGACGGCTCCCTTATATATAATTTGTTTTAAATTATATATAATATATTTAATTTACACAAAATAACTGTTTTTCTCTCTTCCCGTCTTTCACTTTCCTTTTGGGTTTTTCTTGTTGACCAATTCTGATTAGGTTTCTTAAATATTCTAGTTATAATACTAAAATAAATTGGGTCCAGGTAAACGAAATTCATTAATTAATAATTAAATAAATTTTAATTTTCAACAAACAATAATATTTAACAATGGAGAATATTACTAAACTTGTTAAACTTTACAATAAACTTGTTATAATAATGATCTTCAACTTTACTTTTGACAAGAATCGAACCTAAAACTTATAAGTGAAGAGAAATATTACTAGACTGTAATATTAGTATTTAAACTTAACATGGTTGTTGAAAATACTATAATTTTCAACAGCCATGTTAATTTTACAAAATTTAGTCTAAAAAAATAGATTTTTCTAGTATTATTGTACTTTTTTTACCTTAATTACGATTAATAAAATAAAAGGTTTCTGTCCAACAAAAATAATAAATAAATTCCAATAATAAAAAAATGAGAGTTTACTTGAAACTCAAATTCCAAATTTGTTAGACGGATTGAGATGGGAGAGCTGCACCCCCTACTTCGTCGCCATGGTCTAGAAGCTTCAAAGTCATGAGTTCATATGACCTTATAGGTTACCAGCCTTCCCCAACCCATAAATTTAACCCAGACGGAGTCCGATCTCTCCTCTCTCTCTCTCTCTAACTTCTCCCTTCTTCATCCCGTCTGCTTTGTACTTCAATTCCTGGCACGAAAACCTTCTTCTTTCTGGATTTGTTCAAAGTGATTTGCTTTTGGTTTCAGACTTCGATTCAGATTCTTCGGTTAATATCCCAGAAAAGATAGTGTTATATATATATATATATATATATATATTTCAAAGTCCCGGAGTTTTCCTGGATTTCGAAGCCTACAATCTAACTTGGTATTGGTCAGATTTCTTCCCATAAGTTTGGTTGGACTTTTTCTTCTCGATCAACTCTCTGAAGCCATAACAGTAGCATTGATCATATTTTCTTGTAAATATTTTTGTTTGTTAGAATGAAGGTACTAAATCAAAACCCTTTAAACTTCTTCTCAAAGCTCTTCAATTTCCAGCTCAACCTTCTCAATCTCCTCTTCTACTTCCTCCTCTTCGGCGGCGGTCTGACCCTCGGAATGGTGCTCAGCTTCTACATGAAAGACTTTTCCTTCAGTCTGCAATTAGCACAATTCTCCTTCTCGACCTCAACATCTGCATCCAATCCGCACAACCTAATGCCGAACGTAAAAGCAGTCCAACCGAACGAGAGTTTTCGTCCTCCTCGTATAGGATTGAAGGAGTATCTAAAGCCGCCGGAGGTTTTCCACGACATGGACGATGTGGAGTTGCTGTGGAGAGCTTCGATGAGTCCTCGGATTTCCGAGTATCCGTTTCCCCGTGTTCCCAAGGTTGCTTTCTTGTTCTTGGTAAAGGGTCCTGTTCTTTTGGCCCCGTTGTGGGAGAAGTTCTTCAAGGGACATCAAGGATTGTACTCGATTTACGTGCACTCGAATCCATCTTACAATGGATCGCACCCGGAAACTCCAGTTTTTCATGGCAGAAGAATTCCTAGCCAGGTCAGTTACTTTTCCTGCATAAATTTATTTGTTAGCTATCCTGCATCCCGTGATCTGATTACAATTTTGGAGTGCTAATAACAATTCTCTAAATAATTAGATGACGCAAAGGTGAGATTTGGAGGGAACATTAGTTTTGAATGAAAGATTAAGATTCCATTAAACAATGACATGATTGTGTGAAGTTGATTGACTAAAATGTTTAAACTACAAACCTTGTTGGCAAAATAAGATTAAATGCTTGACAGAGCGCCTGCTCTGTTTTAGACAATCCACCTACTTGAATGCACATATTTGGTCTAGGAGCTCATGCCTTCAAATCATCGTAGTTCTCTTAATTAATCACCCGATTTGATCAATTACCATCCTAATGTGTAGAAAACCTTTCCGTAATGGGTTAATTCGTACTTGATTTCGAAATGTCTTAATCCAAAGAGCATGACATGGACCATTTGTTTAATTAGGCACATTAATTCAGCCTAGTAGATTAACAAAACGGCATTGCTAAGCGCACGTAACAGCGCTCGATGATTTTCCTTTTCCGGCAGATTGTTCATTTAATGGCGAGATTGTTCTTCTTACTAATTTTTATACATTCTAAATGTAATGCAGGAAGTAGAATGGGGAAATGTGAACATGATTGAGGCCGAGCGCCGCCTGTTGGCGAATGCTCTTCTCGACATCTCAAACGAACGGTTCGTTCTGCTCTCAGAGTCATGCATTCCCCTCCACAACTTCTCCGCTGTCTACAATTACGTCATCCGCTCCAACGAAACTTTTGTGCAAGTCTATGATGATCCAAGCTCGGTCGGGCGTGGCAGGTACAGTTTTAATATGTATCCACAAGTCTGGTTGAATCAATGGCGAAAAGGGTCGCAATGGTTTGAAATGGACAGAAGCCTTGCCATTGAAGTTGTCTCGGATAGAAAATACTTCCCGGTGTTCCAAAGTTACTGCAAGGGATCATGCTACGCAGACGAGCATTACTTACCAACATTTGTGAACATGAAATTTGGGAAGAAGAATTCGAATAGGAGTTTGACCTGGGTTGACTGGTCGAGGGGCGGCCCACACCCTGCCAAGTTTACTAGAACAGATGTGACGGTTGATGTTTTGAATAGTTTGAGGAATGGGACTTCTTGTATATACAATGGAAGAGTATCCAACGTTTGTTACTTGTTTGCTAGAAAGTTTGGGCCTGAAACGCTGGAGAGACTATTGAAGTTTGCGCCGAAGCTCATGGGATTCAACAGATAGAATGATTTGACATACGAATATTTGAAACTATTTTCATCTATGATGACTAAGATCATAGTTGTTGTCAAATTTATATTCATTATTAGATTGATTTAGTGTAGAGTAGAAAATAAAAATGGTCCTGTTTCTGTTTATAATCCAAATCACTTCATTCTTACATTTCTGGTAAGCTACTTTTATTTTTGTTTATTTTGAAAGCAAAGTGTTGTTGGTGGGTTAAACTGCTCCAAGAACCCCAATTTCAAAGGCTTCGGCGTCTTGCGCATATTTGATGGAATTGTGGACTGAAATTGAACAGAAGGTCTTGAGTTTATAGTCGTGAATCATTTCTAAAAGTGGGATTTTTCATGACTCTCCGTCACCTCACAGTTTCACGTTAATTACCGAGTTAACATTATAAAATATTATATAAAAAAACGAGGTGACACAAAGTAGGTGGAGAGTCCCAGCCAACATTATAAAATAGGGGTGTGATATCCACACACATTTTTTTACTTCTCTCACACTTTTTTAGTTTTCAACCATCAGATCGGATGAATTGAAAAAGATCAATGAACATAAATTAACAAGGGATATGTGATAAGTAAAAAGGGGTGTGTGGATAGCACACCCCTATAAAATATTATACAAAAAAATGAGGTGACAGATAGTAGGTGGAGAGTCCCAATTTTTTTAAGTTGTTGATATCAATCCACGTCATGCTATATAGAAATTGGTATTTCGGTTAGAAAATACTAAGACTCGTCTTTTTATACTGTTATTGCTGATGTGAACTTTTTGCGTTCATCATGCAATTAAGAAAAATAGGCTGATGGGGATAATCACATCTATCCTAATCAAAACATGTCATCGGAATAATGGAATATATGGACTTAAATCATCTTATGCCCTTAAGTCATTTTTATTTGAAGCTCAAGCAATCGTATTTATCTTCCAAATGAAGAAAAAGCAAAAAAAACTTTCCTGTTATGTTCAAAAATAAAATCAAACAAGAATGTAACCAAAAAATTTGGCCACAATTAGGCATTGAACAATATTGGAATTGGAATGACTAAGCTAATAAAATCTTTTGAAATCCATTTTTTATTTTATTTTATACAAACTATTTTAGCCAAGGTAATAAATCTCCGTTTCTTTTATTTTCCCTATTTTCTAGTGCATTAATCTCAAATAGTAAAAACAAATCCTTAAAATTGATATAACAAGAAAAAGCATTACATTATTTACCTTATATACAAAAGTAACATAAGATATTGTATTTACTATTTCATTGCAGAAAAGTTCCCTGCCAATTGCCATGGTGAACAACAAAGTCCTCAAAGCAGATAATTTCAAGGCCAAATCTTCATAGCATGTGATATGTTTATGTTTCAGATTGCTTTGATTTCTTAATCCCAACTTTTGTCAGCTAATCGTCTTATTTTTTATGATTAACAGAGGTTAATTATAACTAGTTTATAATTAATCTCTTTGTAAACATGAAGGCTCAAGATCCAAACTCTCCAAGCTTTTTTCCAAAATCCTTCAATCTCCAACGCCACCACCACTATCTCCTCTCACATATCCTGCTCTTCGTTTTCGGATTAACCCTCGGAGTTGTACATAGCAATCTCAAGGACTTTTCATTTGGCAGTCTACAATTCGCACAGTTCCCCTTCTCACCCATGTCACCTCCTCCTCCATCCAATATTTCAAAAACCCTAATGCCACATGCAACTTCCCCAACAATATCCATTGTTGCGACCAACGCATCCGCTTCGTCAAGTCCTCCCCGCACAGGGTTGAAGGACTATCTGAAGCCGCCGAAGGCGTTTCACGACATGAACAATTCGGAACTGCTGTGGAGAGCTTCCATGACTCCGCGGATTCCAGAATATCCATTCCATCTAGTTCCAAAAGTTGCTTTCATGTTCTTGACAAGGGGGCCTGTTGTTTTGGCACCATTCTGGGAGAAGTTCTTTGCAGGGCATCAAGGTTTGTACTCAATTTATGTGCACTCAAGTCCGTCCTACAATCACTCATCGTACACCGAAACTCCAGTTTTTCGTGGCCGGAGAATTCCGAGTCAGGTCAGTTTTTATTCCCCTATTGTCTGCACTAAGTAAATGCTATATTTCTTTGATTTTTTTTTTTTCAGAACTGAAATTGTAACTCAAGTTTCACCACACAGGCTATAAAACCATAGAAGTAAATTAATTTTTGACTACCTACCTTTACACCCTCTGCGTTTGATGTTAAATTTCATAAGGAGTCGCCAACTTTCAATATTTCACACAAATTTTTAAAATTGTATTACCATCTATGCTCGTTAAATTGTTTGTGAGACAGATGTGGGATCCCATTTTGGATTACGTATAAGCCACACTAGCCGCACTAAGACTAAAACCGTGCAATTGGTTACATGTCAGATCATTAATTTAGTTAAACGTCATACAATCAGAAATCTATGAATCATATAATAAGATGTCAAAACATGGGTGGAGCCAATTCTTCTTACTATTTTCTGTTCTACAACATGTACCATTTGCAGGAAGTAGAATGGGGGAAGGTGAGCTTGATCGAGGCAGAGCGCCGCCTCCTGGCGAATGCTCTTCTCGACATCTCAAACCAGCGTTTTGTTCTGCTCTCAGAAGCATGCATTCCCCTCTACAACTTCTCCACTGTCTACTCCTACCTCATGAACTCCACCCAAACTTTCGTCGAGGTCTATGACGATCCCAGTGGAGTGGGACGCGGCCGGTATGAACTCAGTGACTACCCGGGAATCACAATCGATCAATGGCGAAAAGGGTCGCAGTGGTTCCAAGCTGATCGAGACCTCGCCCTTGAATTCGTATCAGACCGAAAATACTTCCCAGTGTTCATGAAATGCAAAGACTACTGTTTTGCAGATGAACATTATTTGCCAACGTTTGTACACATGAAATTTGGAGCAAAGAACGCAAATAGGACGTTGACCTGGGTTGACTGGGAAAGGGGTGGCCCACACCCGACGGAGTACAAGAGCGAAAATGTGACGGCGGAGCTTTTGAGTGACCTGAGGAATGGTTTTGGTCGGAAATGCGAATACAATGGGAGGAGTACGGATGTTTGTTTCTTATTCGCCAGGAAATTCCCGCCAACTGCTTTGGATAACCTTCTCAAGTTTGCAGGGGAGATCATACACTTCAACACATAGATATTCATGGCTATTGTACTCTTACTGCTTCAGAGAAAAAGAAAAGTAAAGAACAAACTTCAAATTAGCAAATTACAACATATAGGACCACAATATTATTTCTTTTTTGTTTGCAGTCTAGAAATTAAATCGTTACTTTCATGGTACAAGATCAATTAGCAAATTACAACATAAGCCACCACGCGATGGTCTGGTTTGACTATCACCAAGTAGGCCGAGCATCTTCTTACGAAGTACTTTCTGACCGTTTAAGACAAGTTGGCAAAACTGGCAACTTTATAGCATGAAGTCTCAGGGGCAAGCCTTGTCAAATATCAGCCCTAAGCCACGTGTTGGTCATCAGCAAGAGCATAAGTCTACGAAGGGACATAAAAGTTATCAGACCGAGCGCTTGGGCGTTGGTTTCCTCATACCCCAGGCCCGAGCAAGATGCTCGGTACGTGTTGACCTAAACGAATGTCACTTTGGTACCATGTGCCGACTAAAGAACGGAGAAGTAACTAGCTAGTCATGCCTATGTACTTGGTTTATTAAATGCAAGAGCGGCCCACATCCGATGGAGTACAAGAGCCCAAATGTGATGGCGGCTCTTATGAGTGGCCCGAGGAGTGGTTATGGCCGGAAATGTGAATACAACGGGAGGAGCACGGATGTTTGTCTTGTTCGCCAGAAAGTTCATGCCTAATACTTTGGATAACCGGCTGAGACTTGCATCGCAGATTATCATGTACTTCAGCACATAGATTCAGAATGTTACATTTCCTTTTTGTTAATATTAATCCTAAATCGATTTAACTAAACGAAATCCCATTTAAGTTCAATAAAATCGTTGATATCCATGTAAATAAACTAGCACAAGCGAAAATGAGAGATTAAATAAGCAGGCAAGAGAACCGAAGCCAAGAAAACAAAATCCGTAGATTTACAACACAAGACCGTTAAAAATGGTTGGCGGTGCGGTCACTGACTTGCTCCGTAAGTGTCCTCCGACAACGACGGCGACTCGGACATGGATTCAAAGCCCGCCTCGTGACTCGGCGAACCAGCCACGCCCCGAATCTCGTCTATCATTTTCACCACCTGGCTCATCTTAGGACGTTGATCAGGCGAAGCCGCAGTGCAAGCCATCGCAATCTGCAAAAGCCCCACCATCTCCTCCTCAATATCCTTGTACCTCATCAGCTCCAAATCAAACACCTCCGCCGTCCATTCTTCCCTGACCACAGACTGGACCCACCTGGGCAGGTCCACAAGCCCACCGTATCCTCCCCCGGACCCGCCATTATCCACTACGGAGGGACACTTCCCTGTGAGCAGCTCCAGCAGGAGAACACCGAAAGCGTACACGTCTGATTTCTGCGTCAACTTCCGGCCGTCCAACGTCTCGGGAGCGCGGTAGCCGCAGGATCGAGGAGCGGTCGACGTGGCGGGCGGAGGAGGCACGAAGACGGAGAGTCCGAAGTCGGAGACGCGGGCGTTACCGGTCTTGTCTAAGAGGATGTTGGTGGACTTGATGTTACCGTGGGTGAGCTTAAGCGGACTGCACGAGCTGTGAATGAAAGCCAAGCCTCGAGCCGCGCCGGCTGCGATTTTCAGCCTCGTTGTCCAGTCCAGCGGAGTCCGACCGGGTCCACGGTTTCCTGTTCAAATTAGCCCTCATAAGTTCACGATAATTACAATTAGGACAAACATGTAAAGGCGTGAAATGCTGCGTAGTTGGGCGCTTTTTGGTCATATTCAGGCAGAAAAGAAGGAAAAGGAGCAAGAAACAAAGACAAAAGTAAAGGGAAAGACAGAACAGACCCAAAATTACAAAAAAGCCCCTACCATTTGACCCCGTTTGACGTACACGGTACGCAACCCCACTCATCCGTGGGATGATTGAAAATCCGAAATAGTGAAAAATTGAAAATAAAAAACGCAGAAAATTGTAAGGAATTTTAATGAAAAATTATATATTTACACTAAAAAGTCTTAGAATTTTTTTTTTTTTTTCAATTCTTGGCAACCAAACAGAAATTAAGCAGGAAAAGTGAGAAAATTTACCGTGGAGAACCCAGAACAGGCTGCCATTGGGCATGTAATCGTATACCAACAATTTCTCCTCCCTAGCGAAGTAATAAGCCCTCAAGCTCACAATGTTGGGATGGCTGAGCCGCCCCAGCACCGCCATGTGCTGCTCGAACTGAGTCTTCCCGCCAATCTGAGCATCCTTGAGCCTCTTAACCGCCACCACATTGCCATCGTCCAGAACCGCCTTGTACGCCGTCCCGAACCCGCCTTTCCCCAGCATCTCGGCCGAGGCCCTGAGCAAGTCCTCGAGCTCGAAACGCTTCACTCCTTCGAAGAACACCATCCGACCCCGCTCGTACCCGGGTTGGGCGGAGGAGTAGGGGCTCGACGAGTACACGATCTTCTCAGTTTCTAGAAGCTTCGAGCCGCCCTTGCCCTGCCGCATTTTGGTGCTGAAATTCCGCCAGAAGTAGCAGTACAGGAGCAGCGAAACCAGCACGAGAACCAAAGCGTCGCCGACTATGATGGCGATTAGAGCCTCCGGACTCATTTTCGCGCCACCAACACGGTGAGAATTTCCCGATTTGTTCGGCGCTGATTTCGCGGGCAACGAACTCGGCGACGACGCTACGACGGTTGGGTTAGCAGCGGGCACTACAGGAGACGCAATGGCTCCGTCAGATCCAGGCCGGGTCGGGTCGTTTGATGTACCCTTGCAGCTCTGCACCGGTGACCCGCATAGACCCGGATTTTCAGCAAAAGCGGTTACGGGGAAAATCGAAAAGGACTTGGGTATTTCGCCGGTCAGACGGTTCGCAGACACATTGAGGTCCTGCAGATTCGGCAGGCTCAGACCCGACAGTGAACCGGAGAAACGGTTCGCCTCGAGCCGGAGAGTGAGAAGATGGGTCAAATGGTTGACCGTTGCGGGAATCTCGCCGGATAAGTTGTTGAAGGACAGATCGAGACGGTAGAGACGGAAGAGAGAGGTTGCGGAGGAGGGAAAGTCGCCGGAGAGTTCGTTGTAGGAGAGGAATAAGAGTTTGAGGGCGGTGAAGTTGGAAAGGTCCGGAATGGGGCCGGAGAGGCGGTTACCCTTGAGGCTCAGAACTCGTAGCTGAGTTAGCGCGGTGAGTGGCTCGAACGAGCCGCGGAGGTCGAGGTTCTCGAGGACGAGTCGGGAGACTCGGTTGTTTGTGCATGAGACGCCGGTCCAGGTGCACGGGTCACCGGAGGTGGAGTTCCAGGTGGTGAGCTTGTTGGATGCGTCCGACGTGGCTTTGAATGATAAGAGAGGTTCGGTATCTGGATTTGAAGAGACGTGGAGAGCAGCGAAGAAGAAGCTCGTGAGGAGAAGAGTGGCCACGGCGGCCATGGCTGCCATTGTTTCTCTGCAAGTGAGAGCAGAGAGAGTGAGTGAGGGAGACAAGTGAAATCTCTTGGGTACTAGTAGTAATTAGTAAAATAAGTTTAATGAGGGTTGGCGGGACGTTGGTGTAATTATTGGGAAGTAGAGGAGTTTCAATGCAATTTACCGATAAAATGACGGATGCCCCTTGACCTTTCACTGCAAGCGGGCAGTGTGACAGTGTGTAACGTATAAAGCCGTGTAACGCTAGGATTTCATGTCGTTTTATATCGCCTGATAGATATCATACCCGGGGATATAGGGATAGAGGGAGTGCGATGGGGGTTCATGGAATGGTATTTGTGTGCTGCCGCAGAGTATCATTCCCGGATGAAGGAGGAGCGCAAACGTGGGGACGTGGGTAGAGTTATTTGGGCGCGCTCCGAGATCCGTACCAAAGGAGTGATTCTTGTCTAGTAAATCAGACGGTCTCCCGTACTCGCACGATCTGCCGCTGATGCGCGTGCAGTAGCTCGCATGAGTCTGAGGGTTTCACATGTTCCATTAAATGAGTTACCTAGTCAACTATGTTATTTATTTTTAATTGGATTCTTATGGATTGACTAAAACAGCCATGCATAATTAATCCGATGACAGTTTTGCATAGTCGTGACAGTCACTTGTTTAACGAATAAGGTGTCTCAAACGAATCATACGATGCAAGAACGAGTTAAAACACATTTTGATGCGTGGTAGGTTTACAACAATGTAACATTGTTCCGTTGGCATTATTACATTGGCATCATTGTTTCATTGACTCGCTCGTCCCTTAATTTGGATTTTTATCATGTAGACTCTTAACAAAAGAAATAATCTAGTGATTGAGCTTTTAAAGTTTGTTATGGTTTGCAAGAGACATGATCACATCATTTGTAAGACGTTTCATACAAAATTATAATACTTCTTATTTTAAGTTTTAGCCAATTTGATATCGATCCATGAATCGTCATTGTCAAACAATTTTAAATCAATCTATCATTTCTTGCTTAAGGGCTACTGATGAGTCGATTTCACATTATACATTTTATCCTATTTTTGTTATGTTTTGATGAGATTTTGATACTTTATTTTGTATTTTCAATGTGGGACATGTGAATGCTCTGAACAAAAAGTGATCAAACGGATGAATTTGAAATAATTCCAATTGGGGTAGATTCGTGAGTCCCTTCAAGTTGTTTGTGTTAAAGTTTCATATTTTTATTCTTAAGCACATGATCATGGCGAATTAATTAAAGCCCAGCACGCAGTGATGACAGATTAATGTTTCATGCTTAATTGTGATTTTTGAGCAGGTACTTCATTACTCTCACATATGATATTGACAGGGTGCTTTAAAATATAGTTTGTTAATGATAATTGATAGGGCATGTGCATTTCAAAATTACTAGCACAACACAAATTTCATAAAAAGCTCATGATAGCCGTGTGTGGCTTGTTGATATCACTTTTTTATTCTTCTTCTTGTTCACGTATCCAAATGTAGTTTATGTTATCTAAAGTAGCATTAATCGATTTTTAATTTGTTACTTTGGAGCCATATCGTTGATTGTTTTGGTCTAAAGTAGGATTTAATCATAGAAATTGATAGTTTAATCCACTAGAATAATACAAGTGCACTTAGAGTTTGGACAAGACTTCAATTTTAATCTCTTTTTATGTGCAGGGTGGGTGGGGTTGAGAGGAGTGTAGTACTAAACAATTTGCAAAAGTTTGTTTTGAAAGTAGAGCATTGTGGAACCACGGAAAGTTATTTAGTGAAAATGTGATAGAATTTCAAGTCAAATTTAGTAGGATATATGTCATTTGACTGCAGTAAGGAGTGGGCTAAAATGTTTTTCGTCTTTTTGAATCCTATTGAGGTTAGTCCTACTTTTCGGTGTGCGAGATATTTGAGACTTTGACAAAAAAAATGTAGGACATTTTGTGCAATGTTGTCATTTCGGTTCAACAATAGTTGGAGCGAGTACTCAGATGTAACTTCAACTTAAACATCGCTTCATGTTAATATTATGAATCTTTTTCAGCAGTACGCCATAGAAAACGATGGTCGCATGGTTTTATATGTATATATTTGTGCAAAAATTACAAAAGATGTGCTTACTAAGAAAAATTCCAGACGATAATTAAAGCCTTCATTCTTAACCAAGCCCCAAACAACCCTTAAAAATCAGTTTTAACTTGAATTGATTCAATTAGGTTTACTTCACGACAAAACCCAACACTTAACGGGTTGTATAGGTGGGTTAAGTTTCCTTCCAATATTTGAAAGGTAATATGGCTCCGATTCTCCTTCCCGTTAGTCGAAATACAATCACATGGCTTTGCAAGAATCATTTCATTAACTCAATCATTCCATTTGGCGACAAGATAAATTTCCCAGAGTAAGTTGGTTCCTAGCTTAGTTGTGGTAGAACACTTTCGACACCAAATTAGGGGTGGTAGTAGGGTCACTCCAATGTGTTGATCCATTCATATATAGAAAAAAATAAAACAAAAATGCAATGCATACTTCATTATTCAGATTGCATCAGGAAAAGCATAGATTTGTTCAAGTAAAATACAGGGTTTACCGATGTGGTAGAAGAATCTGCCGGGGATTTTGGAGGAGAAGACAAATAAGGCTTGGGTGGTATCTGCAACGAATCAACACTCCTTTCCAACATATCTATCACTTCCTTCATCGCATGCCGATTTGAAGGATCGGTTTGTATGCACCACAAGCTCACTATGATCATCTTCCTCGCTCTTACTTTGTCCCCCTCGTTCGTAACATTCTGCAAACCAGGCTCTTCGTCCCGTTCAACACACTAATAAATCCAATGCGGAAAATATATTTCACTTGTATTTTCAGCTTCAGCATCGATGTTCCTTCTTCCTCCAACCATCTCTAAAAGCATCATTCCGCAGCTGTACACATCTGACTTGTGTGAGACCTTTCCAAAGTTTATAGAAAATACTTCTGGAGCAATGTAACTTGTTGTACCTCTAGCTCCCAACATCAACATAATACTCTCTTTCCTGTTGCATAGTTTGGCAAGGCCAAAATCCGAGATTTTTGGGGTAAAGTTCATCGAGAAGAATGTTGTGAGGCTTGATGTCGAAATGCAAAATTCGTGTTTTGCAACCACGATATAAGTACTCCAATCCTCGAGCAATACCGAGAAAAATTAGATCCAGAGTGTCCCATCCCAAGTGATGATAATCTTTTTTGGGAGTATTTGCATCAAATATGAACTTCTTGAGCGATCCATTAGGCATGAATTCATAGATGCGAGCTCTCTTCGAACCCTCAAAACAGTAGCCCAACAAGGAGACAATGTTGACATGGGAAGTTGTACTAATGGCTGCTACTTCATTCATAAATTCTTATCCATCTCCTTTTAGTTTGGTTAAGACCTTCACTGCTACAAGACAGCCATCTAACTTTCCTTTGTAAACAGCACCATAGCCTCCTTGTCCTAATTTTTCTTTGAAGGAGTTGGTCATGTTCATGACCTCAGAATAGCTATGCCCTTGAACTTGAAGTGGCCCATTGCTCCTTAGAAAGGCCTCAACAATTCGATGTTTTTGGATTCGCTTCTTCCAAAAGAAACAGTAGATAACAACTAGAACGACGATAGCAGAAGCTGCACCAACTGTTAAGGGAGAGTTTGCCACCATGCTTAAACGCTTCCATTATTCTTAGAAAATTGATCTAGAGGCATTGGGAATGATTGATTTCCGTACTTTGGTTCTAATGCTCCTAGATGAGTATCCATATCAATTAGATATTTAAACGAAGAGATATCAATATTACCTAGTCCAATCATCAATTTCAACTACTTATCTCTTGCAACATGAACTGCAAAGAAAACTGCTGTTAGCTAAATCACAGAAGATGGAAGTGGCAAAATAATGTTACCATTTAAAAAAACAAGCGTTTTCAATAAACTGTTTCCTGTTACTAAGAGTTATATCCTTTGAAGAAGAAATCGGATTGTCACACGTCAGAGAAAGAAAAAAAAGGTCATGTAAATGTATATACCTATTTCTCTGGTGGTGCATTTAAATTTTCCCTCTTCAACCAGGCATTCACCTTTTCTTTCACTACATTGAGAACAGTCTGGTGTTACCATTTGGAGGGCAAACTCAGCAGTCGATGAAGAGAGCTTGTTGGGTTGAGACGAAAGCACGGGGACCTGAATGGTTGCGCACCCTGGCGGCGGTGGCGCCCCCGGGGGGTGGGGGGGGGGGTGTGGGGAGCGGCTAGGTAACCTTCTGTATTGATACTGAATTGTATAGAGGTTAAGAATTACTCCTCTAATTCAGAACAAGAGTGCTGAATTGTATAGAGGTTCAGAATTCTTTGATGGCATTCAAAAATCCTCGCAACCCCTCTGAACCACACAGATTACGGAAAGGATGGACTGTTCAGTGTTCGCTCGTCGCGTCGTGAAACAAATTGCGTTCCGCCTTGCTTTCGGGTCTTGTTATTTGTGTGATCACTGAACAGCTTCATAGCTGAAAAGCATCTCCTAGTAATAACGTTGGAAATTAATTTAGTAAAACGTCATGAAGAATTTGGTCGTTTGTGACTGTCGTTTTCTCTAGCGGTTTGATGGTGTAAGTAGGAGACGAGGCAAGAGGGAAGAACTTATCCACAATGCATTACCATTCACAAATGCAAATGTTTCACATATTTTGTGTTGAATATATATATGATTGCGGGACGGGCAGTAGGAGGGTCACTACTAGTGTCTTGATTCATTCATCCATAGAAAAAGAAAAAAAAAAAACAAAAACAAAAATGAAATGCATACTTCATTATTTAGATTGCCGCATAAAAACACAGATTTGTTCAAGTAAAATACAGGGTTTCTACTGTATTGATACCAATGTGGTAGAAGAATCTGCTGGGGAATTTGGAGGAGAAGACAAGTAAGGCTTGGGTGGTATTTGCAACGAATCAACACTCCCTTCCAACATATCTATCACTTCCTTCATCGCCGGCCGGTTTGAAGGATCAGTTTGTATGCACCACAAGCTCACTATGATCATCTTCCTCGCTCTTTCTTTGTCTTCCTCGTTCTTAACACTCTGCAGACCAAGCTCTTTGTCCCGTTCAAGACGCTGGTAAATCCAATGCGGAAAATATACTTCACTTGTATTTTCAGCTTCAGCATCGATGTTCCTTCTTCCTCCAACCATATCCGAAAGCATCATTCCGTAGCTGTACACATCCGACTTGTGTGAGACCCCTCCAAAATTTCTAAAAAATACTTCTGGAGCAATGTAACCTGCTGTACCTCTTGCTCCCAACATCGACACAATACTATCTTTATTGTTGCATATTTTGGCAAGGCCAAAATCCGAGATTTTTGGGGTGAAGTTTTCATCGAGAAGAATGTTGTGAGGCTTGATGTCAAAATGCAAAATTCTTGTGTTGCAACCACGATGTAAGTACTCCAACCCTCGAGCAATGCCGAGTGAAATTTGATCCAATGCTTCCCATCCCAAGTGATCATGACCTACGTTGGGAGTACTTGCATCAAATATGAATTTCTCGAGAGATCCATTAGACATGAATTCATAGATGAGAGCTCTTTTGGAACCCTCAAAACAAAAGCCTAACAAGGTGACGACATTGACATGGGAAGTTGTACTAATGGCTGCCACTTCATTCATAAATTCTTCTCCATCTCCTTCTAGTTTGGTCAAGACCTTCACTGCTACAAGACAGCCGTCCTTTAACTTTCCTTTGTAAACAGCACCACAGCCTCCTCGTCCTAATTTTTCTTTGAAGGAGTTGGCCATTTTCTTGACCTCGGAAAAGCTATATCTTCGTACTTGTAACGGCCCGTAGCTCCTTAGAAAGGCCTCTACAATTTGAAGATTTTGGTTTTGCTTCTTCCAAAAGAAAAGAAATCTATATGATGATAACTTTCCCCTTAAGCAGCAAACGATAACGATTAGACATATGAGACCAGCACCTGCACCTGCACCTGCTGAATATACGTTGAAAATATAGTGATGTATTCGATCAAATGGTAGGCATCCCGTGTGGCTATAAACCTTACACAACATATAAACTTAGGAAAACAAATCTAAGCAAGAGGGTTAATGCAATAAAGTTGTAATTACCTATGGAGACTTTAGCGACCAAGTTTCCACCTTCGTCATCTTTGTCCATACAACGCACAGCTTGAGTTCCACTGTGGCAGAGGCACCTAGAACGGTAGGTGGTGTAATTAAACCCACATAACCCTCCACTTCTCTGGCAGAGGCTGCAGTCGACTGCCATCCACTTCATCTCAAACCCTCTCCCCAACACTTCCTTCATTCCCGCTGCCTCACCATTCCTGTACCCTCCACCATGCGCTGCCGCCACCTTACTCGATCCACACTTTTGGGACTCCAGGACATTTCCAACTTCAGGGTATTTATCCCGAGGCAGAGCAAGAACCGAAGTGTTATTACAACCAATATTGTACGTTGGAAAAGAATCGACAAACGAAGAGTTGCAGTTGTAGAGCAGAAAGAATTGATCTTGATTTGGAGACAGCTTAAACTGAACATTAGGGAGGGTTAAGTTGCTGATTAACGACAGGTTAGTACAAGCAGAGTTGTTTAGGTAGTGTGAAAGCAGAGCATTTGAGACAAGAAGAGAACGGCTTTGGTAACTGATGTTGTGGATTATGTAATCGTTACCAGACAAATGGAGAAATGGGTAGGCTTCTCCGTCATCGTCTCCGCCTTGGCAGGAGACTTCGAAACCCGGATACCCACAAAAGGGTTGTTGCTTGCCTTGGATGTAGAATGGATACCTAATGTCTTGGCGGCCGCAAGTTATGGGCACACTGCAGTTTTGGTAGAAAAAGTCCACAGCCAAAACCAATGAGGTTTCGGATGACAGGACAAAAATCATGAGGAGGAGGATACAGACGTTTTGATTCATTTTAAATTTGAGAGAGAGAGAGATCATGAGAAGACTCAGAGTTGTCGAAAACTTCATCGTTGCATTTTTTTTACATAGAAATGGATTTAAAAGAATTTATAAAATACTTAAATTAATAATATACCTGGAATATAAAGTTTAATTAAAAGTAAAAGCACTTTAATCAAAAGTTGAAAAGTAATAGATGTTTAATTTAGAAAAATTTAAAATGAGGTATCTAATTCTAATTTATCCTTTTTATAAAAATCGAAGATGATAGAGTGCCTTCAAATTCAAGCGAGCATGCTCCCTCTTTCAGTTGGATCCTCGGACGAAATTGGTCAGAACAATCAACAGTGAACAATCCGCATTCAGGAGGATGTGTACTATTTCTTCACGGCATGTATGGTTGATTAAGAAACTTTAATCAACACGCTAATTGGAAATTTCATATGCAGCAGACGATATAGAATCAAGAGTTTGGAAAAATTCAGCATACAATATGGGAGTGCTTTTGCACTTCACTTTTCTCCACCTGCGCACTTTCGTGTTTCTCTGTTTTTTGGTCATAGGATTGAACAAATCAAAAGAAAATCACTTCCGTTCATTGATTTATTTACTTTTAGTATTCAAGTCCGACACACATTTGTTTTCCCCAATACCCCAACAAAATTGAATCGAATGAGGTTTCCTTGCACAAGACCTTCCTCAACTTCTGAAACTCACTTCAAATTATTTATCAAATTTACATATACATTACATGCATCACTATAGTAAAAGATTCAAACAATATTGGCTGGCCTACGAAGACGGATTACAAAAAAATGGTGGTGGCTCCGCTAGGGCGTTTTCCTTCCATGGCATCCTTCTTGTTACTAAGAGTTATATCCTTTGCAGAAGGAATCGGATAGAAAAAAGGGTCATGTAAATGTACATACCTATTTCTCTGGTGGTGCATTTAAATTTTCCCTCTTCAACCAGGCATTCACCTTTTCTTTCACTACATTGAGAACAGTCTGGTGTTACCATTTGGAGGGTAAACCAGCAGTCGATGAAGAGAGCTTGTTGGGTTGAGACGAACGCATGGGGACCTGAATGGTTGCCCACCCTGGCGGCGGGGGGCTAGGTAACCTACTGTTAGATGAAGCGATATATTAAGTATGGTAAGCATTTCCGCAGCCATCACTGAGTTGTGGATAAGAACTTTTGCCTAAGGTGGTGTTGCATTTGAAAGGGTCAGATTGTGTGTGAATAATACTACGTCAGGGATTGGAGAAGCGCCGGGAAGACTCATGCCTTCGAAAACTCCGTCATTGCAGCGATCCTTTGTAAAGCGGTCGGCAAGGAGACTGTTTTTGATAAAAATCGTAGTAGATAAGGGACCTTCGAATTCATGCCAGTATCTCCCCTCTTTCAATTGGATATTTGGCCGAGAGGCTACTGAACAAGTGACTGTGAACAATCCGCGTTCAGTAGGATCTCCCATGCTTGTGAAGGGGAATCTGATGGTGCCTGCTATGTCACTGCAGAATTGGGCTTGACAATGTTTGGATGGTTCCTCATCTGAATATCCAGCACAGTGCAGAACCACAAGGTGAGCAAGACCGGAGAGAAACAAAGCCACCGGAGCCATCCGGAAATTCCAAGTTGATCAACAACAAGAAAACACCCGCAGAGGAAGAAAAATAAGATCTACTCCTCCTCTAATTCAGAACAAAAGTGCTGAATTGTATAGACGTTCAGAATTCTTCGTTTGCAGTATATTAACACGCCAGTTGACTTGGAATTTGGGAGATTGGAAAACTTGCGGGAACCGTGTAAAATTCCACGGTCTATTAGGGGAGTTTCCTTCTCAACTTCCCCGTTGACCAACACCAGAAAGACTTTGATCCCGACTCTTCAAACCATTCTCGTCACGATGATGGCATTCAAAAATCCTTGCAACCCCTCTGAACCACACAGATTACGGAAAGGATCGACTGTTCAGTTTTCACTCGTCGCGTCGTGAAACATGTTGCGTTCCGCCTTGCTTTCGGGTCTTCTTATTTGTGTGATCACCGAACAGCTTCATAGCTGAAAAGCATCTCCTAGTACTAACGTTGGAAATTAATTTAGTAAAACGTCATAACGAATTTGGTCGTTTGTGACTCATTTTCTCTAGTGGTTTGATGGTGTAAGTAGGAGACGAGGCAAGAGGGAAGAACGTATCCACAATGCATTACTATCCACTAATGCAAATGTTTCACACATTTTGTTTTGAATATATATATGATTGCGGGACGCGTAGTAGGAGGATCACTCCTAGTGTCTTGATTCATTCATCTATAAAAAATAAAAATAAAAACAAAACAAAAACAAAAATGAAATACATACTTCATTATCTAGATTGCCTCAGAAAAACACATATTTGTTCAAGCAAAATACAAGGTTTCTACTGTATTGATACCAACGTGGTAGAAGAATCTGCCGGGGATTTTGGAGGAGAAGACAAGTAAGGCTTGGGTGGTATCTGCAACGAATCAACACTCCCTTCCAACATATCTATCACTTCCTTCATCGCCGGTCGGTTTGAAGGATCAGTTTGTATGCACCACAAGCTCACTATGATCATCTTCCTCGCCCTTTCTTTGTCTTCCTCGTTCTTAACACTCTGCAGACCAAGCTCTTTGTCCCGTTCAAGACGCTGGTAAATCCAATGCGGAAAATATACTTCACTTGTATTTTCAGCTTCAGCATCGATGTTCCTTCTTCCTCCAACCATATCCGAAAGCATCATTCCGTAGCTGTACACATCCGACTTGTGTGAGACCCCTCCAAAATTTCTAAAAAATACTTCTGGAGCAATGTAACCTGCTGTACCTCTTGCTCCCAACATCGACACAATACTATCTTTATTGTTGCATATTTTGGCAAGGCCAAAATCCGAGATTTTTGGGGTGAAGTTTTCATCGAGAAGAATGTTGTGAGGCTTGATGTCAAAATGCAAAATTCTTGTGTTGCAACCACGATGTAAGTACTCCAACCCTCGAGCAATGCCGAGTGAAATTTGATCCAATGCTTCCCATCCCAAGTGATCATGACCTACGTTGGGAGTACTTGCATCAAATATGAATTTCTCGAGAGATCCGTTAGGCATGAATTCATAGATGAGAGCTCTCTTCGAACCCTCAAAACAGTAGCCCAACAAGGAGACAATGTTGACATGGGAAGTTCTACTAATGGCTGCCACTTCATTCATAAATTCTTCTCCATCTCCTTTTAGTTTGGTCAAGACCTTCACTGCTACAGGACAGCCGTCCTTTAACTTACCTTTGTAAACAGCACCACAGCCTCCTTGTCCTAATTTTTCTTTGAAGGAGTTGGCCATTTTCTTGACCTTCGAGAAGCTATATCTTCGTACTTGTAACGGCCCGTTGCTCCTCTGAAAGGCCTCTACAATCTGACGATTTTGGTTTTGCTTCTTCCAAAAGAAAAGAAATCTATACGATGATAACTTTCCCCTTAAGCAGCAACCGATAATGATTAGAAATATGATACCAGCACCTGCACCTGCACCTGCTGAATATACGTTGAAAATATAGTGATGTATTCGATTGAATGGTAGGCATCCCGTGTGGCTATAAACCTTATTACAACATATAAACTTAGGAAAACAAATCTAAGCAAGAGGGATAATGCAACAAAGTTGTAATTACCTATGGAGACTTTAGCGACCAAGTTTCCACCTTCGTCATCTTCGTCCTCACACAGCACGGAATGAGTCCTACTGCGGCAGAGGCAACTAAAATGGTAGGTGGTGTAATTAAACCCACATAGCCCTCCGCTTATCTGGCAGCGGCTGCAGTCGCCAGCCAGCCACTTGATCTCAAACCCTCTTCCCAACACCTCCTCCATTCCCGCCGCCTCACCATTCCCGTACCCTCCACCATGCGCTGCCGCCACCTCACTCGATCCACACTTTTGGGACTGCAGGACATTTCCAACTTCAGGGTATTCATCCCGAGGCACGGCAAGAACCGAAGTGTTATTACAACCAATCTTGTACTTTGGAAAAGAATCGACAAACGAAGAGTTGCAGTTGTAGAGCAGAATGAATTGATCTTGGTTTGGAGCCAGCTTAAACTGATCATTATGGAGGGTTAAGTTGTAGATTAACGACAGGTTAGTACAAGCAGAGTTGTTTAGATAGTGTGAAAGCAGAACATTTGAGACAAGAAGAGAACGGCTTTGGTAACTGATGTTGTGGATTATGTAATCGTTACCAGACAAATGGAGAATTGGGTAGGCTTCTCCGTCATCGTCTCCGCCTTGGCAGGAGAGCTCGAAACCAGGATACCCACAAAAGGGTTGTTACTTGCCTTGGATGTGGAATGGATACCTAATGTCTTGGCGGCCACAAGTTATGGGCACACTGCAGCTTTGGTAGAAAAAGTCCACAGCCAAAACCAATGAGGTTTCAGATGACAGGACAAAAATCATGAGGAGGATACAGAAGTTTTGATTCATTGTAAATTTCAGAGAGCGATCATGAGAAGACTCGAGTAGTCGAAAACTTCATCGTTGCAGGCTCCTCCGTGTTTTTTTTATAAAAATCGAAGATGACAGAGTGCCTTCGAATTCAAGCGAGTATGCTCCCTCTTTCAGTTGGATCCTCGGACGAAGTTGATCAGAACAATCGACAGTGAACAATCCGCATTCAGGAAACTCAAGGCTCTCGGATAACCTACTTGTACTATTTCTTCACAGCTTGTATGGTTTGATTCAGAGACTTCTGATCAACACGCTACTCTAGTTGGAAAATTTCATACGCATCAGACAATATAGAATCAAGACTTGACATGGAAAATTCAGCATAAGACCTTCCTCAACTTCAGTTTTCTCCACCTGCGCACTTTCGTGTGAGGTTTCCTTGCACAAGACCTTCCTCAACTTCTGAAACTCACTTCAAATTATTTATCAAATTTACATATACATTACATGCATCACTAGAGTACAAGATTCAAACAATATTGGCTGGCCTAAGAAGACGGGTTACAAAAAAATGGGAATACTGGGTTAAAAAGAATGGTGGCGAAACAATGCACAAGCTACCTATGCTACTCTGACTCCGCTAGGGCGTTTTCCTTCCATGGCATCCTTCTTGTTACGACAATCAGAACAGAGGAACGGCCCTTGCCAAGGCTTTGAACTGGTTGAGAAGATAGAACCTGCGTGAACCGATATGCCCTCGCTCGGAGCAAGGTCAACCTGGCATACAGCACACATGAATAGCCCAGATGTTGTTGATTGTGGTGTGCACTCATCACTGCCCAACCTGCAACACATTTACAGGATATAATCATTTTCAGATGTAACCAAATAAACGAAACCAAAATACCACATTTCACCAGAAGCCAACAGGCAAATTGAAACTTCCAACTCAAAAATAAGGTTTCTGATAACAATGTATGAAACTCCACTTCGACTAAAGTTAATGACATCATTGAAAAATTTTCTTTTCAAATTTAGTAGACAACCGCAGTGTGAAACTTTTCCAGAAAATTTGCATCGAATCAACTAAATTGAGTGAAGAAGAGGGAATCAACTACCTTTCAGCAAGCATCGCAGACCCTTCTTCAAATAACTCTTCCACAATACCCACAGCCGAAAGCTTCTTGGATAGTTTATTAGCAGAATCACGCGACTTCTTTCTGAACAACAGGGTCCTGAGCTTGTTAATCTTTTTTGGCGGAGTTGAAGGCTGTTCGGTAGTATCAGGTGGGATTATGTCAACCACTATGCAGGTCGTATCATCCTTTAGACCCCTTGACCTTAATGCCTCCTACAACAAAATCCACCATCAATAAGAAAGAGTTCTAGCCTTTAAGTTTAACATGCATATTGCAAGAAAATGGCCAAGTAGTTCAAACAACCTTCACAACTTGTCCGGCAGCAAGTTCAGCTGGCAACCCACGGCAAGACTGTGCTGCCATTTCAGAAGATATAGCATCCCAGATGCCATCAGAAGCAATAATAAGCCTCCCACCGGCATTTGAAAGCTTTTAAAACAATATAAGAATGTTAGCTTTCAGGTTAAACAATACCTGGCATTGAATTGAATAAAACCATGTTAAAAATTGAAGTTCCACGCAGAGAAAAATACCTTGACTTGTTTCACATATGGTATTGGAACTATAAACTCCCCAACATCCATGTCTCCAATTGATCTAGAAAGGCATAAACCCCCTGGCCAACAACGGAGGGGTCCAATCTGTAAATGTCAAAACAACATATATTACACAATGAAAAGCATAGTTTAATTAAGACTCAGCCACAGAAGTATTCTTTTCTTTGTTTTCGTCAGGAAAAAAAAAAGATCTAAAAGCCCTCACCTCTGCACCACCAACAATGCTCAACCTCCCAACTTCCCCACCACTTGCAGCAACACGCTCCCTCCTACAATTACAAAGAAAATATTCAATTAGCAAATCCACGGAACAATAAAAAGAGAGGAATGTTACTGAATTTTAGTAGTTACATACTCCTCTACATTTTCTTCAAGTCTATGATCAACAGTTAAGGTGGAAACAGCACCACCCTGAGTATCTAAGATACAACGGGAGTCTCCTACTGATGCAACTGTCACGGTCCATCCATCAACTATTACAAAGGTAGCTGTTGTTCCAGAAGTTTCACCTGGCCACAAAATAAGAGTAGAAAGAATTAGTACATTTGTGCTAAAAAATATGAGAAAAACCGGAAAGAAGAACAAAGACTAAGCAAGTTGTAAATTCCATACCTCTGCTCTGGAAATCCTTATCAGTCTTCACAAAGCCAGCAACCAAGGCTCGAGGTAAAGCTTGGAGCCACTCCTCCCTTCCTAGCCCACGGGGAATAGCACCCAACACATGCTTTAACAAATTCTCCCTTGTATATACTGCTGCTGCATTTCCATTGTGCCCATCAAAGATCTGACAATCAGAAAAAGAACGGTGACTATTATACTTGATTTGCAGTATATTTGATAGCTAAAGGAAATTGGTTTGAGCACACTGCTTCATTCCATAATTAAACCAACAGTACATGAAATTTTCGAAAAGTATCTCGCTCAATGCCTATATAGAGTTGGGCACTCATATGTAGAATTCAACTTTTGGGACATTCACCATGGGACAACAGCATAACAGAGGTGAGTTGCCAAGGTCTGGCTCTATAATCTAGTGCAAATAAAAGAGAGACTTAGGCTTACCGCAAATGCGGAGAATGCTGATGAAGAATTCCCGGGTACTCGCTGACCATCAGTCTTGATCAGGAAATAATCCTCCCCCTTCCTGGATTGAGCTGCATGCCCATATCTGACAGTTGGCTTCTCCATCTTCTCACTCTTCAGCTCTCTGCTGATCAATGCAGCCAGAGGCACCATATTATGATGCTGACGCCTATCTCCGGACGCCATAACTACCTCACCCCTGTCTTTGCCGGAGGCCCAAGACCTTCAAACAATCTTACTCTTTTCCCCTCAAAAGCATACTAATGCAAAACACCTAAAAGAACCTACAGATTTTCGTAATCAATGGCCTCAAAACCCACGAACTTCTTTGCACAAATAGCACAAAGTCCCAATTCTAACAAAGAAAGATCGAATCTTTCACAAGCAACAATAACTGATCTGCATTTATCATAAGACAAAACAAAGAATAACGTCAACAAATTGGTTATATCAACAAATATATGCTGTCACTTGCCGACATATGTAATAAAAACAGAACAGGAAGGATTACATCTTCGATATTCCATCATTTGGCAATCGAAATCATATAAAACAGAAGTAAAATGTCACTAATAAGCATGTATTCACCTAACCCAGAAGACAAAAACTCAAATTTTCGTTTTATTCTATATTTTTTTTCTCACCTTTTCTTGAGGTATTTTCTCGGCAGCCAAACAGATGAACAAAGATTCCCAGAAGAATGTCTGACTGAGAAATCAAACGCAGATCCGATTGCGAAGGTAATAAGTAACACCGACGACGACGACGATAACAACAAAAAAAAGAAATCACCCAATAAAGAAATCAACACGGTGACGCAACGCGTTTTGGTGACGAGGTATGAACTGTAAGACCCATTAATCAAATCAAACACCCCAAATCCTTAATCTTTCGATTAAAAAATTGAACTTCGAATTCCTGCGAGTCGGCAGCAGCTTCACAACCTTTTCCTTCCCACCAAACACCCACGATTACTAAAAAAAATCCAAACTTTCTGGGGTTAAAGAAGTGGTAGAGAAATTGGGTGGCAAAAAAGCAACTTTTCGATCGAAATCTAAAGAGAAATTGCAGAAAAGTAGGTATGGCTGACTATGAAGCAATGCATCCATAAACCCATAATCTGCTTCTGAAAAAAGTCGGTTTCTTTCTTTCTCTCTTTCTCCGAACCAATTTGTTTTCCCCCAAAATGCCAAAGGCAAGAGCTTTTCTTTTCTATATTTTAATTTTTTCCCGGGAGAGAAGTTCACTATTGTGGAGGGGGGGGGGGGGGGGGCGTACAAAAGAAAGATTAGGGTCTACATAGAAATTATGTTGGTTGTTTGTGATTGTTCTAAAGACAAGAGAGATTTTTTAGTATGATTACTACATTGGATGGTACATTACGTGTCATTAAACAATTGGTGGGATATGTGTGCTAAAAAGTTAATAACTTAAAAAATAAAATTTCTCATCATTCTTATTAAAATACGTGGTGTACCACTTGTGTTCCAGTCACAACTAAAAATTTCTCTAAAGACAAGGCATCACAAGGTTGGTTGTTTACCTAATAGATCTTCAATGAGAGTTTTCCGGGAAGTTAATTAATTAAGCTAATCAATGCTAAGAGTATTTGGCGCACTTTTTACATTTTATTACGATCGAGTAATATTTTTGTTTATTCGCAAGTGAGAAAATTTAAGTTTGATTTTTTTCAAAATCAAATTTGAACTTATGAACTTAGCCGACTCTTCAACTCTTAGTGTAAATAAAAAATAGCTAGTTTTTTTTTTTTTTTTAAAGAACCAACTGGTGACTTCGCTACGACAATTCACCCTTCAAAGGGCTAAGAAGACACACAAAGGTATTTTAGCTCCTCTGACCATCATCGTGCAATTCACGTCAAGAATTGAACTCAGAACGTACCGCTAGTTAACCAATTTTATAATAAATAAGAAAAATAAACAAAAGTCCAACCTTACATGTGTACATTTCAAAGTTAAAATTTGCTAAAACTAAAAGGACCAAAATCAAAATTTGATCCCGATTCTGAAGGAATCTCCACGGGAGATGATGAAATTGAAGACTAGGGAGTAGGGAGTAGGGATACCAAGTGGATTTGGTTACAAATTTCTTAGGGTTGGGGGATTTTTCTGTGAAAAAAGCTGATACGTGATGGGTGTTTGTGCATGTGTTTCTGTGATGGCGATGATATGGACAAGGTTCGCAGAGCTCTCGTTGCATGTGGTTAACTGAGTGCGATTCTGCGTATGCAGATGTCTGTAACCCTGTTTACCTGTAGCCTCACAGCCACAGCCTTGTAGGGTTACCCTTTGCTTTTTCACTCGAGGGCTTTTGGGGTCCCCCCAACGCCCCTCCTAGTCAATGCCAATGCTGACGGTGATGCAATTTGACATGGATTGCGTTTATTGTCATCGTAATGTTGTGGTCGCTTAATATAATGTTATATAAATTTTCGTTCGTGTTATACGCTGTTATATTATATATTAAACAAAACATGGCATGGCGATAAACTCGTTAAATCTATATTAGTTGTTCTCAAGAGGAGGAAATATGATTATCTTCAAACTCATTCCATCCAAATCCTTCGAATTTTTAATGAAAATAAGTTGGAATAGCAATAATGGCTTTAGAATCCTTTGCCTTGAGATCCACAACGATAGTGTTGACGGCAAGAAAATTAAGAGAGGTGCTAATAATAGAGGAGACAACTGTTGTCGGAATAGTAGTTGGGATCGAGATTACTGCACCCAATCCCTTGACCTCCCTACCATCACATCCCTTGTCCCTCCCCCTCCCACCCCTTTTC